GAGTCTATCTATTTAAGGGTCTAGATTTAATAGACGGCGTCTTAATATTAGTTCTTATCTTCGAAGGTTTCTCGAAGTACTTTAGCGAAGTTATCGAAGTTATAAAATAGTTCTATAGTTTTCTCGTACTAGTCCGGCTTACTAAAGTCTTTCTAGTAGGGTTTAAATTAATAAATAGTATTACTATAGAGATACGACTCGGTAAAGAAGATTTTTTAAAAGTTATCTTAAAAGACCGTTCTAAATAGATAAAAGTAGATTTATAGTTAACGTAGAAATTCGTCTAATTTTCTTCTAGTCCCGTCGAAGATATCTAGTTTCTTAATCTTAAATTTTAGATTAGAGGTCTAGATTAGAACCGGCTTAGTAGATAGCGTAGGTTTTGAAATTCTTATAGTACGGTTAACCGTAAAGACTTATTCTCTAATAAAGTATTCTAGAAGAACGTATACGTAGTCTTTCGATATATTTAGAGATAGTCGTAGTCTACTAATATCGCGGGAAAGAGACGCGATCTCTAATATATAGGCTTTCGAGATAAGTATACGTATTTTTATATCGGGATTTCTAGAGATATTAAATCGAATATTACGTACTTAATTCTCCGCGTTTAGAAGAAAAGTATAGATTTCGGTCTAGATTATTATAGTTAGTACTAGAGATAATCTTATCTTTAATATCTATAGAATAGTGATTAAAGTATTACGCTAGAACTCGAGAAAAGAGATAAGATAATAACGTCGGAGAGGTCTATAGCGTTAAGAGTTTACTATCGCTATCTAAAATATTACTAGATACTACGTATAGAGAATAGTAGCCGTAGTTAGATAAAGAAGGTAATAAGAGAGATATAAGATAATAATTAAAATTAATTACGGAGGTTCTATCTACTATAAATAAGTATACTATATATATAAGAAAATATTTATCTTATAATTATAATTTCTAACCGTTATATAGTAGTTAGTTATAACGGGCGGTTATATTATAAGAGTATAGTCTTAGCGTTATAATCGTTAGTAGTAATACTAAGTAATAAGCGTAATTATCGATTCTCGGCGCGGGAATTCGCTTAACGCCGCGTTTCTAACTTCTATTCTTCTATAGATATTTTATAATAGTTAATTCGACGAATAAGAACGACTATACTCGATAGCGTACTACTCTAGAAAAATAACGCCTCTAAAGCTTAACTACGACGTCTACGATAAGAAACTCTTAGCTATCGTTATAGTATTTAAAAAATAGAGATAATATTTAGAAGGCGCGAAGTATTAGATACTAGTATACTACGACTATAAGAATCTTACGTACTTTACTACTATAAAGAAACTAACTAGAAAATAAGTTAGATAGGCTAAAAAACTAGTATTATATAATATAAAGATTATCTATAGAAAGAGATCTAAAAACGCTCGCGTAGACGCGCTAAGTAGAAGAGTCGACTATATTAAAGAAAAGCTAGAACTATAGTTTACGATACTTAATCGGTAGAAAGACGAAACTCTTATACCCGCTAGAGCGTATATATCTATTTTTAGAATTACTTAATTATAGCTTAAGAAAAACCCGAAAACCGATTTATCGCTTATTCTAGTTAGGCGACTAGCGCCGGCGATACGCCTAAAAGATAACGCCTAGTTACATAAGTTTTAAAAAGTCTACGCGAAAGACCTACTAGTCTAAGAACTTAAAAAAGAAGAAACCGATAGTCGAATTTTTTAAGACGCGGATAGTATAATTCTATATAAAAATCTATTCTACGTACTAATAAAACTTTAAGAGAAACTTATAAAGAATATCTACGAAGTACTAGTATACGGGTATTAAGAAATTAATAAGATAATCGAAAGAATTACTAGATACTACTACTTTTTTTATCTATAGAAGATAGTAAGAAAAGTAGTTTTAAAATACGATCTTTATATTAGAAGTAAAGCCGTAAGACACGCGCTCTATAAAATACTCTAGCTAATTAAAGCCCCGAATAGAGTCTAGTAGGTAGTCTCGTTAGACTTTATTACGGACTTATTTAAATCGATCGAACCGCTTACTAAAGTAGTATACGACTTAATTCTAGTTATCGTCGAAAGACTAACTAAGTACGCGTACTACGTTTCGTTTTTTAAAGCGGTAAACGTAAAAGAAGTAGTCTATATATTTCTTAAGATAATTCTCGGTAGCTACGAGATACTAAAAATAATTATATTAAATAGAGATTATCTCTTTATAGCCCGATTTTAAAAATCTCTAATATATTAACTTAAGATAGACTATAGACTCTTTACTATCGTATATCTATAAACGGACGGACTAATTAAGCGCGTTAACTAGACGCTAGAATAATATCTACGCTACTATCTTAACTACGTATAGAATAATTAGATAGAACTATTATCTTTAGTCTAGTATACGTATAATAGCTTTAAAGCGTTAGCTACGTAGATATCTTCGTACTACGCTAACTATAAGTACGAATTAATAATATATAGAGAAGTAATCTTAAGTAAGTTACTAGTCTAGAGAGAAATCTTAAAAGCCGAATAACTAAAGAAACTTTATAAATAGATTAGCCTTAATATTAAATTCTAAAAATATATAATATTTCGTTACTATAATAGATAGTACTAGAAGATATTAGAGCTAAAAGAGAGAAATAAAGTTTATCTTCTTAGAAAAAATATTAAAACTTAATAACCGAATAATAAATTAGATTTTAAGAAAATCGAACTATTTAAGATTAAAGAAAAACTAGACGAAGTTATATACCGTTTTAAACTACTTAGTACTATAAAGATTAATCTAGTATTCTACGTAGAATTATTAAAACTAGCTTCTTAAAACGCTATTTTAGTAAGATAAACCGAAGAAATAACTCTAGAAAATCTAAACGCCGATAAAAATAAAGATTAAACCGTAGAAAAAATTCTTAATAGAGACTATTATAACGATTAATTTAGATATCTTATTAAATAGAAAGAAAACTAGAATAATATCTAGAAACCGCTAGAAAACTACGAAGAATATAAAGATTTTATTATAGAATTCTATCGCTAAAATCTAGATCGTTTTAAGCTAGAGATACGTCGATTATAAAGACGTCTAAGGACTTAAAATTAAGATTTAGAGTTTAGCGCGTCTAATTTATCGGCTCGAACGTCTTTAGCGGCGTAGTACTAGAATTAGCTTTAAAAGATCTAATAGTCTAGATAGAATTCGTAACGATATTAGCTAAGAACCCGCTACGTAAACGCTTTAGTAACCGCTTCTCTTTAGCGGCATTAGAGTTAAATAGACTTTTCGTCTCTAAATCTTTTAAGATATCTAGAACATCGATAGTAGAGAATTTTTTACGTAATATCTTCGTAGCTCGACGCTTTAGTAACTCTTATTACTTACGAGTCCGAGATAAGCTACTAATAATCTATTAAAGCTGCTTCTTAAAGAAGATACGCTTTAAACGAGTCTTCTTTAGAGTATAATAAAGACGTTTAACTATAAAGCTAGTTAGTAAAAAGAGTAAAGAAAGAACGAAGATATCTATAATCGAAATTCTCTAAACCGCTAGTATTATAGCCGGAACGATTTCGTTAATAATACTTATCGTAGCGAGAAAACCTTAAAGTAATCTTATAAACTATCTTAGAATTCTTCTCTTTACGCTATATATTCGCGAGTAAATACTATAAATAAAAAACCGGTATTACTACGTCTAAAGAATTAATCTTAGTATCTAGAGACTTATATTTAGAAAACTAGTCCGTACGGGCGTAACTCTTAATATCGCTAAAAGAAGTACGCTTAGAAGGTATAATGAGAAAACTTATAAAAAAAAGAGATAAATAAAAAAAGAAAAACCGATATAATATATATCGTAAAAGCTTAGAAAAATCTTCGGGTTAAAGATTTCTAAAAGAGGGAGTAGTATTATAAACTCTAGAGAATACGGGCTTTATAACTCTAAGAATAAAAGGCCCGTATAGAAAAAGATATTATAGAGACTAAAGAGTCTTACGGGCGAAAGAGCCGTACTATCTTAGATTTCGTATAGAAATCTAAAAGATATAAAATAACGGCGCGTACGAAAATACTAGTAGATAGTAGCTACGGTTCGTACGAAAAGACCGCTTTTAAGAGCGCGGTAACTTAGAAAAAAAGTACGAACTAAAGAATCTTCTACGGGACGAAGAGCTATAGAGTCTAATTAAAGACCGTAGGTCTAGACGTATAATCGTTCTAAAGTAGTATATAAAAATAGAAAGTTGAAAGATAAATAGACGAAGAGAACGAGCGAGATATAGTATAATATTATATTCGTTCGAAGAAGTTAGAAGCTAGATATCGAAAATATATTCTAAGCGCTAAGGTTACGTACGACTTACTTAGATTACTATAATTTAAGAAGATTAATCTAATATCTACGATCTAGTTATTTTAATCTAACTATATTAATCTAGATTATAACTAGCTTTTCTATAGTATATAGATATACTTCTTAGCTAGATACTTAATTCTTTATAGTTAACTTAAAGTTTTAATTAAGACTCTTTAGTTAGAGGTAATCGGCTTACTATATATCGTATAATTACGTAATACTCTCTTATCTAATTATTATCTTTTCCCTCTTATCTCTTTAAGGTAAATCCTTACGGTTTAACTATCTACTAAGCGACTTCGAAGCTTAGTAAAAGAAGTCTACCGTTATACTAGTATTTAGTAATATCTTAGATAGTAGTAGTAAATTCTTAATACTGCGTATCTTTTTAACGCTTCTATCTTAAAACCCTCTTTTTAAGTTTTAGCGTAATATCTAGCGCTTATAGTTTTAATAGACGGGTAATACTATTATATTACTTAAGTCGTATTTATAAGAGTAGATATCTTTTATAATTTAGTAGCGCTTAGTAGACTTAATTAAAAATAATAAGTAATAGCTAAGCTAATATAAACCTTATTATTATAGAAAATAATTAATAAATAGAAACTATATAATAAAAAGTCTACATCTTCGAAATACCTCTCGGCCTTCTTGATACTGCACCCGTCAACAACGCGTTTCTCAATGTCTCCACTCCCTCGTTGTCATACTTGAGATCTGGCTTTAAGATACCTTCCTGCATTGTGGTTGCGACGTGCACTCCAGTATCAACGTCGTAAATCTTCCCGTGGACCAAGACTCGACCATCCGCCCATCGATCCGTGAATACCTCTTGGCAAAACCGTCTCTCCTTCTCCTTCCTCCGTGTGCCAGCAACGACGGCGTCAGGAAAAGTCACGGCGTCGCCGACCTCATGCAGCACGACGGTGTGGCTCAGACTCGTGATGGCAGCCGCCGGAGTCAACACGCGGGCGTGCACCCCCAGATGGCGAGAAGCGAAGAAGAGCGACTCGCGGTCGCTCGCGAAGATGTGCACGCAGATGGACAGGTTGATCGACCGCGCTGTCGAGTTGGCCCCGCCCAGCGAGACGTTGCCACTCACCGTGTACGGGTTGGCCGACCGCCGCGCTGCCGGCCGGGGGTCCCAGTGCTCGGCTGCCGGCGCGCCAAGAGTCTCGCGGTGCGTGTACGGTAGTTGCGCCCACCATATACCGGACATGCTGGGGCTGCGGCACGGCTGCATGCTGTTCTCGAGGATGACAGACGCCAGATCGTTGTACTTCTTGACAGGGAGGTCGCGCGGGTGAGTGGCGCTCAGGATGTCGGCGAAGCTGGTGAGTGGGGGCGGGTGCGATGTGTTTTGGTAGGAAAGCAGTTTGGAGGCCAAACTCTCGGGAACCTTGAAGGATATGAGGGCGGTGAAGACGATGCTGTCAGGGAATGGCGAGCTTGGTTGCGTGACGGTGACTGAGCGGGCTGCAAAGTACTTTCCGTCCCGAATGCGAAGAATTTTGTAGCTGTTTTATCGTCAGTATTTCCCTACCTTTCCTCCTCTATAACACAGCCTACAATAAATTTAAATTTGAAGGACAAGGCTTACATGAATGGGAATGCACTGAAGCCGGGGCCGATGAAGTACCCCGATGTATTCTGTAAAAGTTAGCCATCGACACGGCGAAGAAGACGGAGATATTGAATGATGAAGAAAATTCGGCCTTCTGCCAAGATTATAGCCATTCTCGAAATATATGATACGGAATGCCTGATGATGTTGAAGAAAGATGAATGGATTGATGAATACATACATGAATTAGAAATCCTTCCCCGACCGTCTGCGCAGCAGCCCATGCGGACTGGGCGTAAACGTGGCCTCCGAACGTTGTGTGGTGCATTGTTCCGTTGATAGGTTTGGTAACGTTAGGACATGGCTTCGCGATTGACCTGAATGTGTTCTCATCGAGCCTCTTCACTGCCATCAATTCTGCAAAGTCTTTCCCATCCGGATCCAACGGGATTAGAGGTTCTGGCATTGTGGGAGAAATACTGCCCTGGGCTTTAATATTATTAAATGTGAAATAGACAATCCAAGACGTACAAACGATTTAGTCTTAGAAATCTGAGTGAGAAGGCCTGCGGGAAGATGAGGAAGACATGATGTTTTATATTGCCTGTGAGTTCGCGCGAGGTGTCTATACAAATAACCCCGGATACTTAGACACGGAATGCTCGGAGTTGAATGTAAGTTTTCCGCCAACTTAATCCTCTATAGGGTGGGGCCTAAACTCTAAACCCAGACCTCAATTCACCTCATTGGCTAAACCTTGTCGGCCACTCCGAGCCAGTAGCTGGTCTGTCTGGCTTGCTCAAGGCAGTTCTGGCTTTAGAGCGCGATTTCACCCCGGGTAATTCCAAGTTCGAGACTCCGAACCCGAAGAGTAAGTGTTACCCGCAGCGACGCTGCTACCACCAGCCACGCCAAGCCACGCTACCAGCCACGTCACGTATAGACGCGTGACTCCGCGTCGCCGCTGACGCACAGGCTAAAAAAACTGCCAAGAGGAACTGTCCGGATCTCAGGTGCCATCTCTACAAACATGACTCCAGCATCCCCATCTATGCGAACTTCTCAACGGGCACCGCTTGCTTGTCAAGGTCAGTTACATCGCCCAGGAGATGACTTGCCTTATCCGTTGTTCTGCTGACTACCTGCAGAGTGTACTCGAAGAAAGGTGAAATGCGACAAAAGATCGCCATGCTCGCGCTGCCAGCGATTGGGACACGCCTGCACACGAGAAATTGTGAGAGTGACTGGCGCATTGTCCAAAAATCGAAATGAAATCAATTTTCTGAAGAGACTGGAGCGTCAGCTTGCGCAATCCAGCAATGAAGCAGTGCTTCATGAGGTGCGAAACCGCGTTGAACTGCTGGAGAGTGGAGAACCACAGACCGTTCCAACCAACTACAGCAATCAGCCAATGCATGGAACAACTAACGGCAGCGGGAATAAAGCTGAAAGTACCGAGGTGGCCAAGTCTGAGGAAGATAAAGAGACGACGACTTCTGTCAAGATTCTCGAACAGCTGGCGTGGGGACGCCACTACGGAACTTGTTACCCGCACCGCGCCTGTACCTGCCACACCCGGCGGAGTGAGTCGGAGCTCATCTCTATAAACACAGACTTGACCGGTGTTGTTGGCCAGGATCCAGCGGCAGTGTTCAGCGACTGGTCTGTTCTTCCATCGGTGCAGGATGCGGAGAAGATGATTCGCTTCCACATGGAGCACCTCGCCTGGCATCATAATTGCCTTCATGCGCCTACCTTTCTGCTGCAGTGCGAGGCCTTTTGGAAGTTCGGCACAATTGATCATCCCTTGTGGATGGCGCTGTACCTCTCTGTTCTTAGTGTGCGTTACTCCGCCGCCGAAGAATTGCGCACTGTCTGATCCGCACAAACACAGGTAACGATCTGGTGCACCCAAAATAGCAGGAAATACAGGGCCATGCTCGCGTTGGGTTAGGACGCTCACGGCAAAAACACTGCCTCTGTTTAGCTGACGCCTGCCCAGAGTCGGATCATTGCTCGGCAAGAATTCTTCATCACGCCATGGTGAAAGTACTCAACGCTGGGAACTTTCTGGAACACTTCTCTCGTATGGCATGAGACAGCAGAAACACGAGCGGGCGCTGATGTTGTTCCCAGTGTACTCGATACAGGCGATCGTAATATCAACAGAGGTCGCACACAACCTCGGCATGAGCAACCTGAACGCCACACTGTCCAGTGCAGCAATCCGCATCGCGCAAAGCATTGGACTGCATAAGATCGTTGGCAAACCAGCTTCCGCTGCTGGAAGTGCGGAGAGGCGGCACGAGACGATCGAAATCGAGCTGGGAAAACGTGTCTGGTGGCAGATGACCATCCAAGATCATTTCGCTATACCCTTCACAGATTCGTATTGTACCGATGAAGCCACTGCAACTCTCCCTGCTGCACGGAACTGACGCTGTTGCAGCCATCAATCCGGCACATTTCACCACGGAAATCCCGTCCAACTGCGACGATGTCGATCTCACTAGGAAAGAAGACAATGTCCCGACAGTCTCTTCTTATGTCCGGACTCTCGCTTCCAGTCAGTTCAGACCATTCTCGTCCTGATTTTGTGACAGCCGTAGGACTGAAAAGTAGAAACCAGTGGCCCGTCTGATGCCTTCCCTGCTGGATAAGCTTGGCCCCATCCAATGGCGCGAGCCTACGTTGGAGCAATACCGCACCATTATTGACTTCGATCACTCCATGCGGCAGCTCGTCAGCAGCATACCGACGTTTCTCCTGCGTGACGAAGGCCAGGGTACGCCCTCGCCACCGTGGCTGAGTATCGCGAGACGGAGTCTGGCAATCACCGCCGCCGACAAGGTATGCCTGTCTCCAAGCAGCCTTTACCGTGCATTGATCGCACTCGGATTAATTCAGCAGTACAGATTATCATGATTCACCGCCCATTTTTGTTCCAGTCCTTCCAGTCCCGGTCGTTTACCCACACTCGATCGACCTGCGTCGCGGCAGCCATCACCATACTGCGCGAACACGAAAAGATCGTGCTAGAAGACGACGTCTCGATCTGGACACACTCGGCATTCTGCGTCACTGCAATCATTGTACTTTGTCTAGAAATGCTGTACTGCCGACATGCCGCACACGAGGCGGATGCCTCTAGCCACCGACCTGAACCAGATGCTGCTACCAAGGAAAGACTGTACAAAGAGCTTGTGCGGTCGGCAAAGGACAGGCTTGCGGGACGTCAAGACGATGTCCTTGCTGAGCGCGGTGTCCGACTGGCAGACCTTATCTTGTCTGAAGCGGAAACGAGGCAGGCAATGGACGTGATGGCCGGACCGGGAGATAAGGAAAGCCAAATCTGTGTTGTCAACTTTGGCAGGATCATGGCTAGGTACGTTCAGCAAGAAAACATGGCGCGTGGAAGCAGCGTGGGAGCGAGAGAGCCCGATCAGTTCTCGTTCGACGGCCTTCACCCTGGATGTGGTCCTGGGGAAGAGGGGATGGATGGACTCTTCCCTGATACACTTGACACATCTGTGCAGAGCTTCGATGCCTGGTTCAACGAAATCTTTGGTTATGAACGTGGAATTTGATAGCAACCGCCCTGTCTCAACTCAAGATCAAGCCCTGTACGGAATGGGTTTCTGGGTGGTACTCATAGTACACTGCCACATGAGCCTCTTCTTCTCCTCCTCCTCCTTGTACTTGGCCAGCTGTCCCGTGATCGAATGCATGACGCCCTTGTTGTGGAAGATGACAATGTCCCCCTCCCGCCAACGGTGTGCGTAGATGTTTTCCACCGCGTAAACCTTCCTCTGCATTGCGTAGACGATCTTCCGCACCGTTGGCACATCATCAACGACCGTCACCTCCCCTGTTGCGGGATTCTTCGTCGTCAACTTGTATACGCAGCAGCCGTGCACTTGGAAGTGTGGTCGACCGTTCCCTGGATTCTTCCATACCATCTACGGTGAATCTTTCATTAGTCGACTGACCCATTTTGCGTTGTGTCACACTACGTACCGGATACTCAGCAACATGCTCCTGTGTCCATTCCGACAGCTGGTCTATCGGTGTTTCGTTTCCGAAGGTTGGGATTGTCAACCCGTCTGCCGAAGACTTGCAATTGCGGATGTACTCGTACGCCTGTGGTGCGTATGTCACTGTTGTGTTCATCGCGAATTCCTTTTCCTCTGGCGTCAACAAGTCGAACACCCGAGCACCAGAGAAAACTGTTGGCAATCAGTATACTTGCAGACTATCTCAACTCCATGCAGCAGAAGACTTACAGGCCGTTGAGCCAGCGGCAATCGTCTTCTCCTCCCCGTTATCGAATTTGATCTTCTGGTCAGGCACCTTTGGAATGCGCACGCCGTGCAAAATTGTAACCTCTCCCGGAAGGCGCTCGTACAACGGCGTGTCCATGTGCCACCGATATGGACGCGTGTAGCCCTGATCGAGCTCCTCCGAGCTCAGCGGTGACTCGTGGAACAAAGTGTGGTCCTGAATTTCGGTTAAATGATTTGGTTTTGGCATCACACGTCGGTGTACTCACCAGATGGACAACCTCAAGCTCAGGAATGCCCTCATAGTTGGTGAACTTCCCCGAGCCAATGACAGAAACCTATGCAGATTCAGGTCCATTAGTAAAACATACGCCTACAAGTTGTCGAAATTCTGGGCTTTAGGGGACATATTCTACTGACCTGTGGTGCAGCTGGCAGCCGGCCAGCTCTATAGCTGGACAAGATGTTCCGTGGATCACTAACAGCCTTCTTACCCGCAGAATGCTCGTTGGTAGCATGCTCGTCGAAGACTGCAGCGAGCTTGGGCAGAATCTGTGGGTTGATGCCTTGCTGGTTGCGGATGACAACGACCGAGTTGTCGAAGAGCGCCTGCCGGAGCGTCTGCTTGTCTTCCTTAGAAAGCTTGTCGAGGTCGAGGATCGGAGTTTCGTATGGAAGGTTGATTTCGGCACCGATCATGGACTCGCGGCGCTCGTCCTCCGGCAGGAGGGAGGCGGTGAGAGATGAGTTTATCCTTGCAGGCATGGTGGATGCGTATGGTTGCGAAGGGAGATGTGCTGGGAGTATTTATATTTGCGTCTATTTATGATGCGTGATCTGGAAAGTCGTGGCGTAAGGACCAAGGCGACAAATGTGGCGGATGGACATGCCCGAGAGCGCAGCATCATTTGGCGCGGAAGAGTTTAGAACTCACCCGCTCCATCCAATCAGGCGAGAGATGATGCGGATCGCGGAGAGCCCCGCCATTTCCTGCACGTACGCTTTCTCCGTGGGAGGAGCCCCTGGAACGGATGAGTTGTTAACTCACCCGCTCGAGCCAATCAGGGAGCTGGTGATGTGAAGCGGGGCTTATCGCCGGAGCGGCCGAGTCGGCGACTCACCCGCTCCTGCCCCGGATCTCCGCCATCATTGACAAATGGGACGGACTGGCTTTGAAATATAAAAGACTCTCAACGAGTCCGTCAATTTCATACGTAAAGGTTTCCATTTTCAGACGAGTCCCCTACATACCTTCAAGCATGGGCAGCCTTCCAGAATTTTCGGTGAAGCCGCTTCCAAAATCGTCCATCTCGGACGTTGACTTTGGAGCTGAAGTAACGGGAGTCAGCGTTGAGAACCTCACAGGTAAGACTTCTTATGTGCAAGTTTCGTGTGTGTACATAACCAACCGAAATACTAATTTCTGTTGTTCTTCGGCATAGATGATGCATTTGCTTTCCTTCGCACCGCTCTTTACACGCACAACGTCGTCCTCATCAAAGGGCAGAAGAACCTTTCCCCGAAAGCTCAATACGAGCTGACTCGCCGCTTCGACCCTGCCGCCGACACATACAGCCATGGGAAATCAATCGACAAGCGCAGCATCCTCCACGCCGATCTCAAAACCATCCCGCACCAGCCCCAAGTCCAGGTCATCGGCAGCGGGTTTGTCAAATCGTACGAAGGCCTGGAAGATATCACCCTCGTTCATCCCCACCACCGGAAGTTCCACCGTGACCCCATTCCCGAGGAGGAAGATCACGATTACACCCACTTCTACCGCTGGCACATTGATTCGGCGATGTATGAGCTCGATCCCCCAAGGGTCACTTCATTAGCCGCAGTCCAAGTACCGCAAGGGCGCCGCCAGATCTGCAGGTACGACGATGGATCTGGGGAGGAGCTCGATGTTCCACTTGGGACCACCGCATTCATTAGCGGATACAGGATGTACGATCTGCTCTCGGAAGAGGATAAGGAGTTCGTCCGCACGAGCGAGGTCGAGTACGGTGCGCATCCGTACATTTGGATGAGTGAAGCCCGGTCCCGCTCCAACGGCCTGGGGTTATTTTCTGAGGGACGTGAAATTCCGGACGATCGACTTCCTCCAGTGGATCCCTCGAAAATTCGGCGGTATCCAATGGTGTGGAAGAATCCGCTTACAGGGAAGCTCGCATTGATGGTGTACCCAACGCCTGCGCGGAGGATCTGGCGCAAGGATAGTTCCGTGATTGAAGATTTAGAGACGGTGAGGAGCATTGTGTACAGGTTGCAGAGGCCGGGTATAAGTCCGAGATTGGTCTATCCACATGACTGGGAGGAGGGCGACCTGATCCTCTTTAATAATCATGGCGTGATGCACTCAATCGTCGGTTCTTTCACGGAGGGTGAGGTTAGGATTTTTAAGCAGTGCAACATGGCTGCAAGCAGTGCTCCTATTGGGGCCGATTCATAGAAGCGTTTCATAGTTTATGGCATCAGAGATTGTCAGAGTTGGCAAATCGATTCTTTTCAGCGCGTCGGCTGCAACCACCCCAGATTTGCTAGCAATTATGAATGCACAGCCGTGTCAAACAACAGACTTTATAAAGCTGCTGCGGCTACTACTACGGCTGCTCTCCGCTGGAATTAGCGCAGAAGTCAACGTGACTTTGGTGCACGGAGCTTGCGTGTAAAACTGTTCAGCGCATACTGCTTGCTATTAGCATCTGGCTGTCGTCTAAGAGGTTAGCTTGCTTCACGCGGTAGATGATGATCTCCAGGTTACTGTTGAGCACCCGCAGGCCGAAGTTGATGGTATTGAAGCCGCTTGCCGTAAACGTTGGCCAGTTGGAAAGTTAGTAGCCAGATGCGCTGTTAGCACAAACCACATTCAGCTTGCGTGACGTCAAAGCAACGACATGAATGGAAACCGACGGTCACCTGTCTTTCTTTTTGGTATCAGTGCCAGGCACCTCATTGCTGCGCTCTGTGTATTCATACCAGCGTCCCTGTCGCCAATTCCCTCCACGAGCCTCCACTACAATCCACTTCAACTGAGGACAAAATGACCAGCCTTTGTCAGGCTTGCAACAATCCTGCGCAAGAGACATGCAGCCGCTGTCACTGCAGCCGCTACTGCTCGAAGGAGTGCCAGAAGGCGGACTGGCCGACACACAAGCTTCTTTGCCGCCAGTACTCGAACTTCGACCTTGCTTCCCGTCCAAGTGAGGGGCATTTCCTGGCAATTGTCTTTTCGCCAGACAAGGATGGGCCTCACCTGTTTTGGTTGCAATCCACGGAGGACGACACTTCCTACAAAGCCTTTTTACCTTATCTCTTCCCAGATGGTAACACTCGACTTATCGAGGGTCCACACCTCCTCTACAGTCAAGCATTGGACCGCGACCTCTCGGACGGTGTTTTTGTCTACTGGCGTGAAGAGTTCTTCTTCGATGGCTCAATTCCCAACCGTGCCGTGAAAGCGGCGACCAAGGAGCGTGGGTCCGCTCAATTCGACTGGAGAGGCCCAGTGATAGTATGCGGCACAGTAGGGCGGAAGGGATTCCGGTTGCGCGATACTAACCTTCTTGACTTCCGCCACGCCGTTGACTTCCTCCGCACGAAGAACCATGTCCTGAACAGCCCGCAGGCCAGCCTCGGCGGACGGATGCAAGTAATCCGAATCAACTGCAAAGGCGCCCAGGAGACTCACAACTTCCCGCTCTTCGAACCCATCACAGTTCCGGCCATGTTCAAATGGATGGAAGTCGACGGAGACCTCATCATCCCAACACACGCTGGCCAGCCCCTTCGTATGTGTAGAGACCCTCATGATCCCTCTTGGCAGGGCGCCACGCCTGCAAGAAATGATGCTGCTGGGATGTTGCGTCTCGGCTGCAGCGATAGTGAGAGATGGCCTCGCGAGCAGCTTGGCAGCGTGGTGCTGATGCGCACCGACCATCTGCCACTGGATCCACAGTACGTTGAAGCAATGGTGCGCTTCTGCCAGGAGGTGGCGCCGCGGTTCGCTACATCACTGCCCAGGCAAGTTGTGTTAGCGACCATTTCGAAGCCTGCATTTGACGAATTCTATGCGGGATTCTTGCAGCAGAAGAGGCAAGAGGCACAGGGAGCAAGTGGGGGTCTATAGGTGCTGTCCTGGGGAGAAGATGGCCCGAAAAGGCGGAGAAAAATATCGGGATGGCGTGGTCGGGCTTTCAGATGGGATGGTTAAGAATTGGGAGTGAAGAGGAAAGAATGCACGGGCAAGTTGATAGGAATTCGAGATGGTCATCTTTCGGTTGTGGGCTTCTTTGCTCAGCGGCTAGTTTTAATATGGGATGAGACTTCAAATGAAGAGTTGGTTTGGGTAAAAGCTTGGAAGTATCTTTGATGATGAGGGCGCTGGTTGAAGGGCATCATGTATGTACCGACAAAGGAAAAGAGAAATCAAAGTTGGCTCACGATACGCAGGCAACATGGCAATCTAAATCCACTTATAAATCGGTTCGCATTCTTTCCGAGGAGAGGACGTACTGCAGCTTGACGGAAGATGCGTGGAAGTATCAAGGACATCGATTTAGACAATGTTTTTCGGGATCCAAAAACAGGCTAAGGATATTTCGGCCCCAGCAGATGGATCCATGCCTTGTGGAGGAGGAAATTACTTGCGGTATTAAACCATCTTGGATTATACGGCCTCTTAGAGGATTATTAAGTGAAGCGCATAACTGTTTCTAGTTACACTTGCGGTTTTCTTATCGGTATGACTCTCTAGAGTTTACCTTTTCCGTTGACGACATGTTTATCGAGCCCTACCCTGGTGTCTTATCGTGGTAATATCCCCGTAAGTATACGCCGCTCAAGCACCGTAGGTCCGCCCAGCGGACATAATGGCTCGGAAATTTAGTTGGAGGCGATGTATAGCTAAGCTTCCAGCCTGAGCTAAGGGGTTTCAATGTATGTGAGAAGACATGGTGAGTAATTACTCTTTTACGCTGTAGACCGAATCTATAAATAGATTTCTTCTAACATTTCCATCTCAACTTCTTGCAGTCTTTAATATTTCCTTTCCATCCCGAAAGGTCCAACCTTCCGATCGCTTTGCTAGTTTGTAGCTACCTTTGCAACGATCTTCTCACACAGCTTAACAAGCGAGAAAGCATTCGTAATTTCCAGCATTGTTAGTTCCGCCCCAACGTCAGCTCGTAACCAATTCCTAAACTCAACGGCAGAAAGGGAGTCCAGACCATAGGCAGCCAATGGCTTTCCGGGCTCCAGCGGCTGATCCAATCCCAAGATCTTCATGAAGCGCTTGTTGACAACCTCGATCACACTCTTCAGCACGAGTGACGGGTCAGCGCCTGATCGATGCAACAGGAAGAACTCCTGGAGGTCTTGGTCCGCGCCGGACTTCGCGTTGGCGCCCCCGGACGCCGCATCCCCTCCATCGCCCACGAACATGGCGGCAAAGCGCGCGTCTCTGCTATTGTCGGAGTCTGCAGGCTGGGGAACGGCGATGCCGGTAACCAGCTGCGACACGCTATGGGCGTTGAACGGAGCGGAGCTTTGCTGCATGATTGAGTAGCCCAGGATACGACGCAAGATGACCTCGTTGATGTACGTCCAGTGGCGGCGGTCAAAGTGCTGCTCCATGCCGCCCTGCTCAAAGATGTATCCCACGTCCTCAATAACTCCAAGATTGACAGCGTTTGCAGCGAGGCCGTGGGCATTTCGATAAGCGGAGAAGGCATCAAGGAAAGCGTTGCCGGCGGCGTAGTTGGCTTGACCCTTCTTTCCCACGAGCCCTGAGATACTGGAAAGGAGAGTGAAGAAGTCGAGCGGAATTGCTGATTGCAGGGAAGCCTTATGAAGGTTCAAGGTTCCCTGGACCTTACTGGCAATGACGGCGTGGTACTCATTGAGGGTCATGGTTTCGTAAGGTTTGTCCTACAAGAATCAGCGAAATTCCATTTAGTGGCAGTGGATGAGGTTTACCTTGAGAACCATGGCACCCTGGATGACTCCAGCAATGGGCGGGCTTGCTTGTTGAAACACACGGATAACCTCTTCCTCCTTGCAAATGTCTGCAGTGGCTTCCTTTACTTCGCAGCCAAGGGAGCGACACTGGTGGATGATACCCTGTGAAGCCTCATCCGTACATCCTCTTCGAGAGAGCGCGACAATATGTTTTGCGCCACGCCGTGCAAGATGTATCGCAAGGCTACCACACAGTCCCCTGAGGCCACCGACAATTAGGTAGGATACGGTGGGTTTCAATACAAGCTCACGGCGCGCGGGTCTCACTGAAAGCTCTAGGTTTGCATCCTCTCCGTCAGTCACAACGATTTTGCCCATGTGCCGGCCGCTGCGGATCAGGGCAAAGGCGAAAGCAATGTTGTCGAACTTGAAAGTTGTGACGGGCCTGATGGGCTTCAGATGTCCTTCTTCAACAAGGTGGAAGATTCGGGAAAGCAGACTAAGTGAAAGATCAGCATGAAAGAAGCCGCAGCACTTGGCTGTACCTACTCGCTTATCATGGGCAGCGTCATGGCCTTAAAGGAATAGTCTAGGGCCCTGTACGAGCAGTTACGGTCGAACGGTTCCATGGCAAGGTAATTGCGATCGACAATGTCTCTCTTTCCAATCTCAATCATGGTTCCTCCATCGGCACAGAGCCGCCACGAGGCATCAAGAAGCTCTCCAGTAAGAGAGTTGAGGATTACATCAACCCCACGACCGTTTGTGGCATTGCGTATCTTGGTTGCGAACTCGGGCGTGCGAGACGAAAATATGTGACCCAAGGGCACGCCGAACTGCTCGGTAAGGAACCGTCTTTTCTCATCCGTTCCGACTGTGGCATAAATCTGATCGTTTGTTAGCTGAGTAGCATGGTATACTCAGAATGGATCAAACTTGCCTCAGCGCCAACAAAGTTTGCTATCTGAATTGCAGAGATGCCAACACCGCCGGTGGCTGAGTGAATCAACACAGACTGGAGGCGCGGTTAGCCACATAACTGTCGGATTCGCCGGAAACTTCATACCTGTCCTTTTCGGAGACCACCAAGATCCAGCAAAGCGTACATAGAGGTCGAGTACGCCAGCGTGATGGTAGCCGCTTCCTAAACATCACGTCAGTACTAATTACCCACTTAAACGTATAAACGTCGTCAGAAATGCCTACCTGGAAGGACAGCCAAGAGGGCAAACGATGAACCTGTTCCTGCCAAATTTCGTTCCTGTTTGCGAAACAGCCATTTGCGCATACGGCAACGCGGTCGCCAGGCTGGAAACGGGTTACCCCCTTACCAACGCGTCGCACAATTCCAGCACCTTCACAACCCAGTATGTGCTCATTCTCCGGAACAATGCCCATCGAAACAGCCACATCCTATCCACGAGTCGATATTTGCACCTACTGAATCCTGGAAGAGCCACTCACCTTGAAATTCAAACCCACAGCAAAGATCTCCACCTCCACTTTCCCATCGGCAACTAGGGCTTCCTCCCTAGCCACTTCGGCAAATGTCAGGGCGTCCAGGGTCCCTACACGCTCCGCCCTCAGCCTCGCCGTGACCTTCAAGTCCCGCAACCGCCTCATGACCGGCGCTGGCCCGCTTCCAACTTCTTCGTGATCCTTGAATGCGTTGACACCGGCGTCGGGCAGGATGCGGTTGGCATAAACGACACCGTCACGTTCGCAGTACTCGTGCTCGATGTGCAGCTTCTGGTCAGCCTGTGCGCCCATCGCTGCCAGCACCCGTACGATGGTTGATGCAACGTCTGCAGCGGAAGTGTTGGCGGCGACGTCAAGCGTTGTAAGGCGTGCACCAGGATCTTCTGTGCGAATAGTGCGGAACAGACCGTGCACGAGGGCGTTCGTTGGGTGCGTCACGAGGTGCTGTGAGCCGTAGGTCACCCACAAGACGCGGCAGCCGATGCTGATGAGGTGCTTGAGGGCCTCCCATTGATTTTCGGTGGCAGTGGCGAGGACGGGCTGCACGAGCTCGTCTAGTATGAGCACGGTGGATTTGGAAGCGACCGAGGAGAATGGTGGCGTATGATATTGGGCCGGGAAGCCAGACGCGGCCAGAGAACGCTCCACGTTCTCGATGGTGTCGTTGCTGCTGCCAAGCTGCACGATATTGAGTGGCTCGGAGACAGCTCTTCCCGTGGAAGATGGAAAAGTGGATAGAAACGCGGAATCGGCGCCCTTTGTTGAAATAGGTACCACATTGGCAAGGCCGCCAGCGCGGATAGCTTCAGCAGCTTCCGCATGTTGGATCGCCGCAGTCTGTTGGCTATCCAGAGCGCCACGGCGAATCACCAGCAGCTGCCCCCCGCGTGCGAGCATTTTGGAAGCTCCATTAATTGCCGAAGAGAGAGTCCCAGGATTCACCACAGTCAAGACGACAAAATCGAACTTTGCCTCTGGAGCAGCAAAATCGGGTTTGGTGATATCGGAAAGACCAAAAGAGCAGTTTCTCTCCTTTTGGTACTGTGCCTGAGCATCGAGGAGACACTTCGCGTTGTTCGTAGAGAAGAAAAACTCGGTGTATGCTGCCCTGACAGATTGATCGCCGCCGTCAAACCAAAGCTTTGGTGCCTTGTTGCTGTCTGTCGAAGCCATGTCCACTTCTGCAACCCTCAGGTTCGCCCTTTTGTGGGCAATGAGATCAATAATCTGGTGGACCGTTGGTGTTTCTCCGTCACTCAGAACATTTACCAGTTGACTTTCGTGGAGGAAAGTCACGTCTGGCTTCCAAACTGAACGACAGTATGTTTGTCCCGCGATGGGTTCAACACCGTCGTCCAGCTTATGGTACTTCAATCCCTTGACTTTCAGCAGCAGCGCCGAGGTGTTGGGATCGAAAACCGAGCAGCTTGATGCATAGCTTTTTGCCTCCTCAGGGCGACCTCTGCCGGTGTATTCGGACGTCGTGACGGAAATGGCAGTCTCAGGTTTCGATGTGCTTGCAGCTACGATGAGCTCGTCAACGATTGCTAGAACAAGCACTGCATTGAGAGAAACCCTATCACCAGCCCATAGAGATGGAGTAAGGGTTTGAAAGCAGCCATCCATGGAAGCTGGATGCATCGCGTACTGCGACTGCGGCGAGTGCGCCACCGGAGGTTCGGTAAGGGAAACGGTGGAGCGACTCTGGCGTTGGCCCACTCTGGCTTCCACGGCGATCTGCTTCTGGAAGGCTGGGCCAAATCCATAGCCAATCTCATTGACAGTCTTGTACCAGAGACGGCCAGAGGTGGAGTGCTGAAGGGGCTTGAGGTCAGACTCGGTGCCGCGTTCGTCAACCGCACCCTGGACCATTATCAAACCAGTGGAACGATCCGTCTCCACCTCGTCCCTCAGGGTCGACACGGTAAAGCGGTACCAGCTGTTCTTCGTGCCGGGGTGTGGCGTCAGGGAGAGCTTAACTTCTACGCCAACCCCTTCTTCTAACACCAACGCCTTGTCGAACTTGGTGTCCCTCAACCTATACGACAGGTCGCTGACACAGGCGACTCCCTCAACTGGGTCGACACTCTGCTTTAGCTGGTACATTGCCTCGATTGCCATGGCAACAAAGCCACTTGCTGGTAGCAACGTGTCAGATCCCATCTTGTGGTCCTTCAGCCAAGGCAAGTCATTGAGACGCAGTATGTTCTCCCACGTCGGAGAGTTAGTCCAAGAAGTTCCCAGGACCTTGCTTCCGAGGAGGTCGTGATGAGGGAACCTTCTGAACCGCCAGTCTTTGCTCGCCTGGCTCTCCTGCCAGTACTTTGTCGAGTGATTCCAGGCGTAATTCGGCAGATCCACAATGACCTGAGGTTGGGCGTTATCCGTGTAGACACTACGGTTGACACGCCCGACAGCAATATCAGCACCCGCAATGAAGAGTTGACCGGCCGACGAGAAGAGCGCATTCGTAGAGTCATCGCCGCGGGCGAGAGCGGCCTGGTACTTGGCGTCCGAGCCTTGGCCGACCAAAGCCTTCTTGATCTGAGAGATGGGACCCTGGAGAGCGCCGCTTGGCCCAAGCTCAATGAGAAAGCTGGCAGCATCAGGTCCTTCAGAGATCATCTCCTTGCAGGCCTGAGCGAAGCGGACAGGAGAGGCCATGTTGGCCATCCAGTAGTCTGCATCAGCCGCCTGGGCCATACGCTCTCCAGTAACCAAGGAGAAGATGGTGACTTTGGCATCCCCACCCAGAGGCCGTCCACAGCTTCGTTGAACCAAGGTGCGATAGTGGTTGCCCGCCTCGTTCATGTATGTCGAATGATACGCCATGTTGACTTTGAGCAACCTCGCGAAAATCTGGAGCTCGTAGTCAGCGCGAAATACAGCATCATAGGCTGGGTAGACTTACGCTTTCCTCCTTCAGACGGGCTTGAACTCTTTCAAGATCGGAAACTTGGCCCGAAAGTGTCACACTGTCTGGACTGTTGAAGCATGCAATTTGCACACTGTTCTCAACGTCGAGATCCGCGAGATAAGGTCTGATATTTTCTGCTCCAAGGCCTACAGCCATCATTCCCACAGCAGAAGCGTTGGAATCAAAGCAATTTGTCGCGGCCTTGCCTCTGAAGTAAGCAACCTTGATGGCATCTTCCTTGGTGAGAAAACCAGCCGCACATGCTGCAGCAATTTCTCCCGACGAATGGCCAACAACGCTGTGGGCGCGGATTCCCCAAGACTTGAATATTTCGAGGAGAACAAGTTGCAACGCCGTCACAAGCGGCTGTGAGAACTCTGGCAGGCACATGTGATCATCGATCCGTGGCTCGATGAGCTCATCTATATTTGTTAGCGCGAAGGCATAGCGAGTTGCAGGTATGATGTATACCCATAATGGTCCATTTTGGTGGGTCAGGAAGTGTTTGGAGAGCTGCATCAAGACGCTTGATAGTCTACCTCCCTGAAGGAAGCATTTCGACCAGTCCATGGCCCATCTGTGGCCATTGCGCGCCCTGGCCAGTGAAGACGAAGCCAATAGTTGGTTTAGTTGACTGCTTCTTTCCGAACATAACAGAGCCTTCGTCGTACTCGGAACTCTCTGCCACGGCAAATGCACGGTAGAAGTGATGAGTCCTCCTCTCAGCAAGCGTATAGGCTGAATCAAGAAGATCAGCACGGACGCCCGGGTTAATAGATGGCTGCTGAGTGCGGCAACATTGGCCTTAAGTGAGGCCTCATCGTTTCCGGAGAACACGAGCAACTGACGCGGCGATTCGTTGCCGTCATCAGTAAATAGGTCGTCGTAGTCGGTCACGATTGAGCGCGTGTGCGGAGGGTCTGCTCTCTTCAGAGCTGAGTGTGCATCGTCAACCACAACGTGCGCATTCGATCCTCCATACCCGAAGGAATTGACGCTGGCACGCTTTATCTGGGCTTTTGGCCATGGAATATTTGCTTTCGAGGCCCGTACCTTCAACGCCTTCATATCGACTATGGTATCGATTAGTTCTACGGTCTGCAATGTGCGAGGTAACACTTACTCTTCGGGTTCGGAGTCTCGAACGTGGGGTTGCCCGGGATGAAATCGTGCTCTAAAGCCAGAACTGCCTTGAGCAAGCCAGACAGACCAGCTGCTGGCACCGAGTGGCCGACGTTGCCTTTGATCTGCGAAAGGTGGTAATCCAGTGCATAAACAATAAGGGCATGATGGGAGGTACCGAGCCAGTGATCAGGGGCATATCGTCAGGCCGAAGTGCGGCAAAGACATCCGCTACACCAGAGACTTCGATCGGGTCACCAGCCTGTGTGCCTACGGGCTGTCAGCATCTCAACATAAGATTGATGGTAGACAGCGCTGATGGATTTACCTGTTCCATGGCATTCCAGATAAAGTGTCTGGTTCAAATCCGAAATTCCAGCATTGACGTATGCTGACCGAATGGCTCGAGACTGTGCGGCCGCACTGGGACTTGCAATTCCAGGAGTATTACCGTCACTGTTTGTAGCAGAGCCACGGATAACAGCACGGATAGGGTCCTGATCCCGTATGGCATCTGAAAGGCGTTTGAGGATAACAGCGTTGACAGCCTCCGCCTTGATGTATCCGTCTGCTTTTACATCAAAGGTGTGGCACTTGCCAGACGGAGAGTGTGCCGCCTTCATTGTTCCAGCTGGACAAAGTCAGAACCAAGGCAATGTAACAGTTTCCATTGTGTAAACTCACTGGCCATGACGTGCTCTGGGCTCAAAAAGAGGTGGCTGGCCTCGACGATGGCGCCGTTGACCTCCCCAGTGGAGAGATACCGACATGCAACATCCAAACCGACCAAGCTTCCAGAACATGCGGTATCAATTGTCATGCTGCTTGAGATGTTAGTACGAAGAAGACCATAGCAAAAAAGTGCTAAATCATTTGCCTTGGCCCTCTGATGTTCAGAAAGTGGCCGACTCTGTTACTTAATACCGCTCGCCCCACGCCAACAGGAAATCCAGGATGCTTGTCGATAGGGTCTCTAGCCTGCATATCACCGTAGTCTGAGATGTCAGCGCATGTGCGCAATTGTAACCTTGTATCTGCTTACCAACAGCGTATGACCCAACAAGACAGGCATAAGGAGCGCCATCCAGGTCTTGCAATGTTATGCTAGCATTCTCAAGACCTTCATAGACTACCTCCAACATTTGACGCTGCTGGGGGTTCATGGCAATCGCATCGACCTTGGATATCCCAAAGAATGGTGCATCAAAGTCGGCTAGGTCGGCGTCGATAAACATTCCACCGGGTGGTCGCATGGTTCCGGCCTTCGTGGACCCATCGTAGCGCCCTCGAAAAGAGAATCTTGTTGATGGGGGGTCGTTTTCAGCAACACCTCCACGCTCGAGAAATTCCCGAAGTTCGTGAGGTGTGTTGCTGTGGCCTGGAAGCCGGCATGCCAACCTAACGATGGCAACTGGCTCTTGGGTATATTTTGGAAGTGACGAGGTAGAGGATTGGGCAGGTGATCGCGGCTTGGTGGTACCAAGCTGAAAATGGTTGGCAGCAAGGTTACCCATCTCGTAGCGCGGCCATCCGGGGTCGATGGGCAGAGGAATAAGCTCCGGATGCTCGGTGTAGATCTTCTTCGTGAGATAGTGCAGGGCAGCCTTGCCGGGGGCATACGTGGCGTTGGGGAAGGGGCGTAGCTCCATGCCGCCGATGCTGCCCGCCGATGAGCCAATGGTGATGAACTTGGGCGGGCTGACTCCATCCTTGGCGGCTGCCTCAAGCAGCGGCAACACGGCTTGGAATATCACGGCAGGGCCGATGACGTTGACATCAAAGTGCTCCTTCATCTCGGCTGGGCGGACGTCCTTGACCTGCGGAAAGTTCTTTAGGATGCCCGCGTTGGCAATGACGACGTCCAGCTTCGTGACGCCGTAGTCTGCCTGCAACAACTTCACGGCCTCGAACGGGTCTGTTTCAGAGGCCGAGTCGATTTTGACAACGATTGCTTTGCTGCCCTCCGCTGTGGGGAGGTCGAGCAGGGACTTCGACAGAGGGTTCAGTGGGTCACGGACTGCTCCAATAACCACGTGATTATGCTTGGAGAGATACGTCTTGAATAGGCCATGGCCGGTGCCTGGCAGCTCAGTCAGCTCAATAACTCAAAAGGCAGTGGTGTGGATCGCACGTGGTTATCGGTTCGCGGCGTAGGGACTTCCTCGCTTGGCGCGGCGTCCTCAACTTCTGCTCGTCCCTCCTACAGGTGCTCCGTAACAATAGGTGTGAAGCAATAATTGAAATTGACTACGGAGGTCCTACTGTAAGCGAGTGTAATCTATATACTGTGATTGGCCGTTGGTTGGCTAGACTGTGGTGTTGGTGTAGACACTGGGGTAGCCAGTGGCCAAGGGTGATCTGCTTCTGGGGGTCGGGCTCATTGGCCACCAGGCCACCCAAGTAGGTTAAGCGTGTTCGGGGTTCTGCGTGTGATAATCCGGTCCCGCTCGTAAGTTCTGCTGCGCCGCTTGACCCGCTTCTTGGGTCCGTAACACGGGACAAGTTTGTCGACTATAGTTCCACGTTCTCTTAAATTGACGAAACGATCTCCAAATCAACAGGGATGGCCTCTTCGAAATCATCTTGGTTGTAGGGAAGAGGAGTCACCCAATAAATGCTCCACGACTGCCCGGCACCTGATTCCTCCGGCACAGCAACCCAGTGCCCATCTTCGATGTCTTCATGCCTCAGGCGCAGCGCCAGATTCTGCGTTGCAGTGTTTTCGGTAGCAGCCCACGGCTGATGATACACCATACATCCCAATCCAAAAGGCTCAAGTTCTGTTGAAGCCTCGAGTCTGTATGGACCTCTACCGCTTGGGCCAGTCACGAGGAGCGACTTCTGGCTTGGACCCTCAGGCAGCACTCGCAATTGTGACAGATCTTCAGCAGGCTGAAGCAGCACTGGGGGTTGGTTGGTGGAATTTTGGAGGACCAATGCATTATCGGCGTTGATGATTAATTGAGCATTGCGAAATTGATCGTGATGACTGCGGACCACTTTGTGCATTAGCCAAACTAAAATTGGTTGTTTAATAACGGATACGTGATTGCGCACCTGTTTATACGTAGATGATATTTGTAGCGCGAGTCCATACTTGGGGTATTGGAGCTGAGATTCCCGATAATACTATCGAAAGATGTAAAAAGCCAGAAGAGAAGCATGTAGACTTTGTAGATGGATTAGAAGCTGGAAGTAAGGGCGATGTCTGGACAGATATACTGCTAAATGTGGGCCCAACGCTAGTTATTTATGGTTAGTACGTGGCAAATAAAGTGGCTGTGTGCTAAGCTTTGCACCGAAGGTAGTAGTTAGGTAATATAGAACGTTCTCGCCGATATATCTCTAAGAAAGTATAATAGTCGCTATTATGCTGATAACTTTGGTTTACGCTTATGTTAATACTCTAATGCGTTGCGAACAAGGCTTATTAGCACTCTATATTATATATTATATTACGGCACAGCCTCTACAGGGTTAAGGAGTATTAAAATAAGGAAAGAAGTGGGGTGCACTCACACAACGCGAAAAGGACCCACATAAGTCATTTAACTTACGTAACGCTAAAGGATTGATCTGTATGATCTTACGAGCCTTAGGCATCACCCAACAGATCGAAGGCATTGACCCCACCATGATCTATATGATCTATACGCCCTAAGATATATGCTTTAATCCACTTAGGATTCGCTGCATTGAGGGCTATGCTATACCGCAAGCGCGTTAGACTTAACTTTTAATCCGTACCGCTAATATGCTTTCCCGCCCTCGCCTATACTGATCCCATCGAAATACAAGGCCTCGAAAGAGCAGCCGGGCTTAGAGTAAATGGCAGTGCCCACCTCCACGAGCATGGCACGCGTCCGAGCACTATTGGCCACGTACTAGCCAGCAATCCGCTGGCTCTGCTCGCATGGTTGGTCCTTTAAATATCACATCTCCGAGTAATAGATTGTAACATACCACAGGATGGGCGAGAAATTTGTGGAGTGGCCCGATATTCCTTTCAGTACCGATTTTATTCTGACAAGTGTCTCGCTATGGTGGCTGAGCGAAACATTTCCTACGAGTATCTATGCGTACAGAGAGGTAAGAAGCTTCACATCTTTATCTAGAGCATAGCTGACGTATAGAAAAAGACCAATTCATCCACGTGGAGTCTGGCGAGCCTTATAGTTGACAAAGCTCTCGGATTCTCGTAGTTTCCAAAAGACATCACGCTAGTGCCGAGGTCGGTGATTGCGCAGAAAGGAAGGCTTATCTATTTCAAGCGCCATGTCAGGGTACGTTGCTAAGTGATTCAGCCTGAAAACAGCGTGAGCTTACGTACTTAAAGGGCGAGCACTTCCCTGCTCTTGAACACCCGCACGAACTGGCGTCGGAATTGCTGGATTTTATGACGCGTACAAACAACTTGGATATGAATAGTAATAGTAGGAAGTAGGACTTCGGTAACGAAAATTTTCGAGGGTATCGTACGGCGCTGATGCTGCTTCTATTTATCTCATCCGGTGGGAATAGCATTGTAAGATAGTTGCTCATATCAATGGAAATGTTTGAGGTTCTCCAGTACATCTACAAGCGGTTTGGCAAAGTCTACTAAAAGTGCACATGCTCGCATGACGGATATGAAAGACTCCAGCATCAACGGAAGAGTGCATGCGCATACGGGAATACCGTTCATCAAAGCCTTTCCACCACTCGAAATCCACCCGTTGATGGCGTGCAAATCTAGGTCGACTCCATTGCCGCCAATTTCGCAGGCTACCTGTGGCCCCAAGAAGCCACCTCGTAGACTGTGGGAAGACTCAGCAGAGGAATCCATGCACGCATCACAGGAGAGGGTGGATCGAGTGTAGGCCCACACAACCAACGCAGCACGGAACATGCAACCGACGCCCATGAGGTCCACGACGGGTCGGAACACGGGGGCAGCAGCGCGATCGACCTCTTCTTGCACGTAGATTTCAAGTACCTGTGCGGCACACCTCAGCGCCACCCTGGCATTGCTGGTTTCGGCCCATGCTGACAGGCGAGATTCCAGACAGCGTGAAGTTACGGACGCGGCTGGGGACGCTGACCTCCGGCGTTGCAGGTCAAGGCTTGCGACCAAGCGGCGGATGAGAACAATGTCGGCATGGATCCGCAAAAATGAGAATAAATACATCATCGTTCCGCTAAAGCGAGCACTGCGACGATGGGCCAATGACGAGTAATCAGCGTTAACCTGCTGGGAGCGGTTACGATGCGTGTGCCAGCTCTCCAGCTGCGCTTTCCAGGCCTTGCTGCGCTCAATGGCGATTTCTTCACTCGTTCTGCAGATGGAGCCGTCGGATGAGTGCGGGAGGATGGATTGCTCGTGTTGCTGCAGCGAGGCCTCCCACAGACCTCCTTGCAAAGCGCACAGGGCAAGCTCGTAGTCCTCCTCCAGCAGCACCGGCACAGCGACGTGCGTCAGACCGGCGAAGGCTGAGGTGCAGAGGGATGAAAAGGTCTTGTGCAAGCGGCCGTTCGGCTCGAGCTGGCATGCCCGGCGCCAGGCAGTCGGGTGAGCAGAATTCCACAGAGCGTCCGAGGATGGCAGCGGCACGCACACTTCCTGGAAGCGAATAATGGGCCCGCGGTCGTAGCAGAGAGAGATGTAGCAGTCTAGTCGGAAGGCGGTAAAGGCGAGCCGCTTCTTGGATTCAATCGCTGTCCACCGGTGATATTCGTCCATTTCGATACCCGTTGTGCTCAGGGCCATGATTTGATGATCGTGCTGAAAGAGGCCGGCTTCGCGGATCCAGTCTACGAGCGTGCCAAAGCTGGAGCAGAGCCGCACGCGCAGCATCACCTGGTCGATACAGATTCCGTAGATGATGTTCAACAGCAGCGCTTGCGCCGCGGCAAAGTCGGCCGCCCGGTTGCCATCCACACGTCCCAGGCCTTCCTCTCGGCGCTGGTTAAGGTACGTGCTCAGGTTCTCGAGCAACCACTCATGCAAGCTCTTGGCGGCCGAACGTTGATTCAGCTGACTACCGCTGCCAGCAGCGTTCTCATTGATGTTGGGTTCAAACAAAGTTCCGAGCAGAGCCGCCGAGCACAGCAGCTCGAGTGGTTGCTGCTCAAGGGCGCTGAAAAAGCGGCCTCGGTGAAGAAGCGGCCAGCTGTATGCGAACTCGTTGAAGTAAAGGTCGAGTAGCGCAGGAGTGCAAAAAAAGGAAGTGAGCGTCCATATGTTCGTAGGAACCTGAAGAATGCTTGGCTGGCGGAGGTCGAAGAGACTGCCTTGATTAAGGTGGGGATGGCTCGATGAATATCCAGATGACGGTGTCGGCTCAGTAATTGATTTACTCTGCCGATTGGAAGTGCCCTCAGTAAAACCAGACTCGCCCACCATGTCCCTGCCATCCTGCTGGACATTTAAGGGAACATAAGCGCCGGAATCGAAAGTAGGGATAGCATCCAGCAGGGCTTCATCTGCGCCCAAGGATGAGGATGAGATCAACGAATGTCCCATGAAGGCGTTCTGCACTTGTAGCAGGGGTGTCTGTTGCATATTATCTGCCGAAGGCCGAGGAATTGAGATGGCGTGGGGTGGGATCTCTTGGCTGCAAATACCCTGTGCAATGTAGCAGCTGTCGTCAGCAAAGGAAGCCTGATTTGATGAGGTCGGGCCCTGGGGTATGGTTCGCTTTCCCGATCGGTGGTCGACATCGTTCGATATTGCTGTTCGGCTGGTGAAACTGGGCCGTAGGGACGGCGGCGCCATTGCCTCTCGACGAGCCCGGACGGGGGCGTCCAACAGAGGAAGATCTCCGATGGACGGCGATGACGATACGCGAGAGCGCCGGCACTGGGAGCCGTTCACAAGGCACCGGAAGCACGGAACCTCGCCTGAACAGCGCTCTTTGCGCAAGTGGCACCGATCGCACGCCATTAAGACGCGGGATGGCACGTAATTGCCGGCGGCATCGTGTCGGCCACTATCCTGATGCAGTATTTTGTGGCGTTTCAAAACGTCCCTGTTGCAATTGCACCGCATCAGTACTGTAAGATGTCACAGCAGACAAAAAAGAAAGAACAGCTATGAACTCGAATGCGGGAGGGCCCTGCTCCCAAGTAAATAAAATGAGCTCAAGGCAGCATGGCAAAAGTTGTAAATGGAGGCGAGTACTAAAGGGAACGAAGTCCCGAAACAACCAAAGAGTTGCATACCCCCTCGAGAATGCACGGTTGCAGATCTCACAGATATGGCGCCTGTGTCTATGGTGCGCTTGCACGTGACGGTTGAGGTGTTCGCGGTGGCGGAAAGTCCTCCCACAGGGGCAGGCGTGACCGCCAGGCATACTGGCTCGCCACAGCAAGAAAAGGAGAACAAGCAGGTAGCGCAATAAAAGGGACGGGTCTGATTAACAGGAGCCTGGAGTTGCTGAGGTTTTTGTTTAAGCACACCTGGAAGAGATAAAGAGAAGAAAGGAAAGATAAACGACCAATTACATTATCAGCGAGTCCGAGTACAAAAGCTAAAGACTCATTTATAATGATGTCTCACAGCACTGCCACAGTGATCCCATGATTCGCATCTTGCGGCCAGGGACCGGCTCGCGAGTCAATGGGCACTGTCATGTCTGACTTGCTCCACATAAAGCTCCACCCGATTCCGCCGCTTGCCGGCACATCAGGCAGAATCCTCGGCTCCCGGGATTGACGATCTACCTTGAGTTTTCCAGCTATAGATACTCTTCTATTATCGTGGATAGCTCGTAGTTGGCTCCACTTTAAGCAGGGTTCGTGCGCACCCCGCGCTTTCTCGTGGAGCGAGCGACGCGCAAGCCGCTGTTCGGAAACTACAGAAATCCCTGGTCGGGAGACGAGAGGGTGGCCAATGAAGTGCAAAGCCTGGACAACACTCACCTGTACTTCTGGCGGGACATTTGATGTCACAAGACGATAGTCCTCCCATTCCATGCCAAATCGACGGAACTGGGGCTCCCTGAGGTCCTACGCGACGTTGAAGACGAGATAGCACAGTGCAATGACATGTACGCGGCGAGGCCATACCGCCACGCATACGCCGTGTCTTTTGGGATGTATGACCTCAGCAGCATCATCCATGTTAGCCTTGAAACGAGCGTTTCAGAGGTGCGTCAGGCGGGCGATGACACGTCCGTTAGCCAGCCATACTTTGCGCCACGAAGCCCGACCGCTCCGGAGGGAAACGGCTGACTGATCGCCTGTGCCAGAGGCTGGCCTATGACGCTGTAGTACCTTGTTATTCTTGATGCAATGGAAGAGTGATTGATTTGGAAGAAGAGGAAGTCGTGAAGATTCAACTCTAGATGATACTGGACAAAATGAAAAAACAGATAAGAAAAGCTTTCAATGTCCATTGCGTAACGGCAAAGCCTCTGAATCTAAGATTGCAGCAAAACTTGTCAACCCCGACTCCTTTACTTTGTACCCCTCTCTGGAAGAAGGTAGGTGTTACTCTCCATAGCATCCTCGTTGTCTGGTCGGAGGCGATCGCCTTTCACAACGAGAAAACTCGGATGCTTGAAATTAAATATGGCCATAGCTGGAAGTATAAGCGCCGCATCGAAGAGGTAGAGATAGACCTCGCTCGACCGGAGCTCGCCCTCATCTCCCTGAACGTACTCAATAAGACGAAAAGCAGTGCGTATGACGATAAGTCCTCCCGCGAAGTAAAGAATGCCGAGATACGTTCGCCAGTCGACATACCACCTAAGTTGATAATTCATATGTTAGTCCACAGCAGTACTGCTCTGTTAGGTATCGAATCTACTCACGAGGCGTCGGTAAGATTGTTCTTGATCCGAAAGTTGTAGTGGATAGCAAGGACAAGAAATAAACAAAGGAAGCCAAGCTGAATGATCAGGCCGATGGCTGTGATTTGTTCGCCTCGTTCCATAGCAGCTTTTGAGCCGTTGGCTCTTGAGATCATGACACCACCTATATCAATCACAAGTTAGTTGTAGGTATGCCAATTTCCAAGCATCCATACCTATAGCTTGGGTGGCACCCGAGAGGATGTCACCGAGGAGCAATATCTTCGTGCGCCAGGAAGCGCGAACCAGAGCCAATCGCTCTCCACCAGTCTCGTGGATAATGTGGCCTAGAATGGGGTACATGGATGCGGCAAGTGGGGCTGGCGCCATCAGAGGGAGTATTGTGTTCAGGAGATACGGGACAGTGCTGCAATCTGGATATTGTGCAGCCACAATAGAACGCGAAAGATACCCAACAATCTCACCTAGGACTCGTATTAGTCGAGCTATGTTTCTTTGTCAGAACACTTACAAAGCCCCCCAAAAGCGAAGGGAATAAAGTAAAAGGTCCGATATCTAATGATCTGGGTAATGTGAATTGCCGTAGTCACTGTGAAAAAGACTGTTACTGCGACAGCGGCTATTACGCTGGGCTCATACTGAGTGAAGTAGTGCGGGGTTGGTGTGGACATGTTAAAGAATGAAGAAATCTCGATCAAAGAACAGATTCAAGTCAATGAAAGAAAGAGATGCCGAGTTATCTGGTAAAACCTGAACGAATAAAAGATGTTTTTTTCTTTTAAACACACCGGCTCGTATACAGTTTGCAGATCTTGAAACCTTAATGCACCGCCTCAATAACTGAAAGACAGCCACGTAACACATGCAAAGCTTGTTGTCCCCCTTAGCACTGTTTCCGGTGGTTTCCGTTGATACCCGGAAGTGTATGTATCTGGTTACAGCTTTGTACATGGCTGTGCAGAAATAGCGCGCTACAGATGGGTGCGAGCCGCAGATCACAGAGGGTTGAAATGGATGATTGGATATAAACAGAGGATGTTGCATCCGTAATTAGAACACGCTGGACGTTTTGAGAAGCGTCGAAGGAGACTGATGTCACGGGCCACCGAAGGATGTTCGCTTTCCGATGCTTCCCCGGTAGATCTGACCGTTCGGTATTGACTAAGTAGCTGTGGCTTAGATATGTCATTGTCACCCTAAATAGACTTCGTCTTAACATCGTTGTCCCTCAGAACCGTTTCATAAACAGTCGCATCATCTCTTATCGGGCTTCGTCCACAAGCTTGCAGGTATACCAGAGGAAGCCCTGTGTGTGGATCTCTGGCACTTAAAGAGGAGAAGTCCGGAGATGTCGCGTCCTGTTTGTACGCAGCAGCGACAAGTCTGGCGTAGCCCTGTTGATGACTAGCGCCTTGTCGGTCTGTTCTTGTGGGAACCAGGACTACTTGTACTTGTCCGACGCGATGCCTTCCTCGACCACCACTCGCTGCAGCCGCATCTGGCCGTTGTCGTGCGCCTCCCACAGCCTCTTTCGCGACCTTGGACGAATCGATCAAACAGTACGCCAACGAAGGAGGAGATGAAACAGTACGACCAGGGTTGGTAGAAGACGGCAGTGGATGCTTCAGGGGTGTCGCCAAGTAAGTTTTCCGTTTCAGAAAGCTCCAAGGTTTCAATAGTACATGCAATGGCTGAGCACATTGGGCCGGGGCATGGTAGTCTCGTTTTAGCTTCCGTTGTCAGCCATCCGGCTAAGCACTCACTTAGCTCTTTATGCGACTCATTCAGCGCTTGAATGGATTTCTATTCTTCCGCTTCTATCTTCTTACCACTAACAAATCCATCCCAGATCCCCTCTTCCGGCCACTCTACCATTCCATCCACCAAATCGGCATCAACATCTACACTTCCCTGTCGTGCTTTAACTATACTTCCTTCCGGGCTACCATGATCCTCGCTCAACCACCGCCTTAACCGCCATTTCGCACACGCCATCCTCTCCTGCTCCTCTTCCATCTCCCGCATCTTCCTCCTCTCTTTCTCCTCCCTCTTCGTCCGCATGTATTCCTCCCACCGCCCCTCCTTCCGGAACCACTCGACCAGCCCTTCCTGGGTCGCCACCCACGCGCCCACGCGCTCTTGGGCGAGAAGGTACGCTTGGACGGGGTCGTTGCTCGAATATGCCTGGCAACGGCGGTTGATTGTAGCGAGGGGGACGGGTTTGATTGGTTTGGCTTTGGTGGAGTATGGGTTGAGGGCGGAGCGGCGGCTGCGGCTGCTGGGGCGAATGGCAGTACGGAGGGTGGAGGTGCGGGAAAGGAGCATGCTGGGGACGCGGGAGAGGAGGGTGGGGGCGCGATCGGTGGCGGGTGGGTGGCCTTCGTCGATCTTGTTATTGCTGTTGCTGGCAGTTGCAGTGGCGGGGGGTTTGGTGTCGGTGACGGTGTTGCGGCGGGAGACCAGGCTCATGAAGAGGGTGGTGGAGCTGCGGGAGCGCGCGTGGTGCGCAGAGTTGTGGCGAAGGTGATGGCCGGAGGCGGCGATGGAGCCGTGATGGGACTTCTTGATTGTAGAGGCCTTGCGCTTGATCAAGCGGTGTTGGTGTTGCCTGTGCGTTGCGGATAACGTAGATGAGCCGCCGTCACTGGTGGGCGGGTACGCAGGCAGAGGGAGATCGGGTAGGTCTTTATTCTTGGCGGCAGTACGCGCCATTGGGGAGGAATCGGCGGTGATGGTGTCCAGAGCGCGGAGGTTAGAGCTGGTGAGGAGTCCTGCAGGAGCATCTGCTGCTGCGTTGGTGGTGGCCTCAGGTGCTGGTGTGCTGATGGGCTGCTCCTCTGGAATTACTGGGATCTTGTCGTCTTCAAGCTCGATGGCCAGGCATTTTTCGTCGACCCCGGTGCCATCAGTTGGCTCTATCTGCCTGACCCAATCGTCCTCGTGTGGTTGGTATAGTGTTAGGGAGATGGTTGATGTCCTGGCCGCTGCATGGATTGCTATGCTTTTTGGTCTGGATCTTCCGCCATTTTCGTGGTCGATGGCGGTTGCTGCTGGCGTGATCGTAAGCTGGCTTGGTTCCGGGGTGACCCTAGAGTCCTTCAAGAGGGATAAAAACTCGGCATCTTCCCGTTGTGCATTTTGCTCAGAATCAGATTCTTTTGATGGGGGTGTGATTTCGTGTAGGTCTTTTTGAGGGTTCTCAACAGTAACACTGCTCACGCCACGGTGGTTTACATCATTCCGGATAGAAAGTCTCCGGGAAAGCGAGCGCATGGAAAAGGTCCTCCTCTCGGAATTTGGTCCCTGGTGCGCTGAATCCACCCGGCGGTCATTGTTCCAGCTCTTCCAGCTCGTGTGGCTGATGCTGCTCCGTAAACTGAATGTGCGTAGTTTCGGCGTGGTTTCACCCGTCCAGTCCGGCGCGGTGAAGGTCGGAAGCGTGTCCGGTGTTGGGAGCGTTAATGTTAAGAATTCTCGGTCTGCTTCTGATGCCGTCTCGCCGGCGCCACTCCTGCTACTGTTTCCGTACAAAGGATGCAGATACTGGTCCGTCGCTTTCGATGAATGGAATCCGTAGTCTCGACCACTTGCTTTTGACAACCCTGAAACATCATCGTTCAAGATTGGTGATGGGAATGGAGCGCCATTGTCCTGTTTCCAAATGGCCGGTATCGGGGGTGGAATTCCATGTATCGCTTGGCCGGCGCTGGCCTGAGGGGTATCATCGGAACGGGCGGGTGTTTGTTGATCAATTTGCGTATGCGCGCCTGGGGCTCTTCTGCGCGACAGTCTTCTTGTGAAGCTCGTGGTGCCTTTGATCGCGAACATCACGAGGAATGGATGACATGAGGACAATGTGGTCGTAGGGAAAGAGGAGCGCGCTCCGGGCCGGAACGGCCAGCCGGATTGGCCCACCCGTTGCTATTATAACAAGGGAATCTGCAGTGCGTGATCGCCAGATGACGAAGCCGTATCACGAGTCGTGTCGCGTGGTGCCCCTCCCGCACTTAGAACAGAAGCGGGAGCTTCCGTCGCATTCCACCTTACCCGCGTCGCACATGTACGGGGGAGCATCTAATCGACATTCGCAATACGGCCGGGATCGTTTCCCCCTGGGCAATCTTGGAACAGGGTGATGGTTGTGATCTGCTTATAGCTGACCGCAACTTTGTAATGACTCGCGCGGAAATGACGCTGCCTTCATGTCATTTCACGTCCGAGTCGACACTTGAAAAGTTTCGGGTCTCGGGTACGGTGGAGAGACAGCTTGGAGATGTGGAGATTCTTGCATCTTCTTGGCTAGTCAAAAGACGAAACCCGAAAGACAAGGTTAAGCGGAGAATTTAAGGATCGTCGTGATCCGTTTCTGCGTTGCGTCCGCGTGTTTCTCCGTCAATTGTGTCGGAGACCTCCGCAGTTGTGGAGCGACGGGGTTCCTGAAGCCTAAATGTAGTAAAGGAGACGAAGAACGACTTTGAAATCACGACGGAATAAATCCACGTGTAGCGCATTCTGCCACCATCGACGTGCGTCTGGGCTCTGCGAGATGATAAAGCACTGCGCATCTCCCAATTACCTCTCCCATGCAATCCTCCGAAAATCCGTTCTCTTGCCCAGCAATCACGTCATGCTCCGCGAATTACCCGATGTCCTAAGATCTATAGGTTCCACTGGATTGGATCGGTCTATCAAGACTACGATGTCGTCTATAGGGACATGAAAGGGATCTGTATATTGCCGCGCCTTCCATCATCACTGCTTTACCTTACTTCTCAGCCCACTCCCGCTTAGTCATCGTACGCGGTTGTACTTTCCCACCACCAGTGTTGTCGTGGCCGGGTAGTTGGGAGGTTTACTTGAGAAAATGGATCGCCGCTTTAACCACACGTAAATCCGACCTCCGTCGCTTCTTTGTTCTATCGACCGGCCGTTAAATCCTTGTTGCTCGGCGACAATTTCACCTAATTTCTCTATATAAATTCCGACCATATTGAGGAATCATCTGCACCCATTTCGTCACTCTTCAACCAACCCCCTGAGTTCTAAGACACCTCATCGGCCGATCAACCGTTCGGACATCCCCAGCAAATCTCAACCCTCACCAAAATGTCGGAACATACCACCACCGCTCTCGCCCCCACCAACCCCTGCTCTGACCACCGGCAATTCGTCCTCCACCGCCTCCAACGCACCACTGTCTCCCAAAAACAGAATCTCCCTACCTCCCAACGCCAATCCGAGATATGATCCTACCCGATTCATGCTAACAACACAGTTGCTCATTTCTGCCCCGGCTTCAATTTTCACACCTTCCACTGGCTCTGCGTGATGATGTGGATAAAAACGTGGAACTTCTCCTTGCAGACCTGCCAGCGCACCTGCCTCACGTCAATGCTGCACATCATCTCTGAGCATGGTGAGATTGTCACCGCGAAGCGGAAATTCTGGTGTAGCGCCACGTCATCGATGATTTCTGGAGCGAGTTGCTTGAGACGCACGGTTTGCGAGTAGCCGGTTGGGGTATTTAATGGTACCAAGTGAGGAGGGCGCTCCCAGTGATCTATGCGGGGATGACCGGGGGTAATGCAAAGGTAGCCAGGGCGTTGGGGGTGTTGGTGGGTCTGGAGATGGTGGAGCTTGTGTGTAGTCGTGCGGATACGACGAGAAGTGTGGGATACGATGTTGATGATGGTGCGTCGTTTGAAGAAGGCATTGGGCCTTCTAAAGCAGTATCTGACCCTGCCGGCGCCTTTAGAATGAGGTTAATGGAGAGGAGATAGATGTTCCGTGTGAAGAGGAATTCCCGTTCTTAGTCTCCATCCCACCGAAGAAGATGATGCTGAGGCTAAAGGCAAGAAAGCTCAAGACGCAGAATACAGGAAGATGGGAGGCGATAAGTTTTCACAGAGTAGGTCTAGAAGTACCGAAGTTAAAGGCGCCAAGGCTATAGACTGTGGTGCTATAGACGACGATGTTGAGGGAGCTGAGCTCCAAATTTCTGGTGGTGAGTCCGCAGATGGTAATTCTCAAGACAACGAGCTTAACACTACACATATGGCGAATAGAAAGACAGTGAGGCTCAAGACCTTAAACTCGAGGATGTAGATATTGAGCTTGAAGATGACAGCTTCTACAACAGGAAGTTTAAAGAAGCTTAACCTCCGGGTGTATCTCCTAAGTCTCGTAATTAAGCTTAATCTCAAGCGGGGTCGTCATCCGAGTCGTTGCTGCTAACAATTTCTTCTGGTGAGAGTAGAGAGTAACAAACGTAGACTAGCAGTAAAGACCTGTTCAAAAACAATCCGAGGGATGCAGAAATTCCATTCGTAACTGTACAAATCAATTTCCATAGTAGACCGTGGAATAAGTTCTTCTTTCTGTGTAGTATCACTAATCTTTGCATTAATTTACATAATACCGAGCTTGATTTCAGGTGAAAACGCCAATGTTTTGGAATCAGTCATGTTATTTTGGGATTCTATCAAATCGTGTTTATAGACCAAACCGAACAGTCATGTACTCATCATCGCTATTACTTGCTCCCGAACGCCAGATATGTTGATTCTACCACTCACAAATCACTCCACTCGCTCTCATTGTCTTTCCTCGCCTTCTCGACATGATCACGGAACTTCTTACTCATCAGCATCACCCTGCGGAAATGCTCAATCTGGACCACAATCTCGTCGACCTCCTCCTTGAAGTCCGGATCCTTGGATGCCTCGTACTCGGCAATGGCAATAGCCGACTGGAATGCGTTACGAATCTCGCGTCCATTCCACTCGACCTCAGCCATCTCGTCGCTCTCCAGGACAAACTTCCTCGCCTCCTCACTCACAGCGATCTGGCCCTTCGCCTCGCGCTCCAGCTTGTCCAAGAACGAGGCCCAAATGCCGCGCCTCTTGGCGACATCGAGCTTCTCGAAGCCGATGGCGACGTGCACACGCGACATGAAGGCATCATCGATGTGCTCGACGCGGTTGGTGGTCAGGAACAGCAGGCCGCCAAAGTACTCCATCTTGCGCAGGAAGGCGGTGACGATGCCGTTGCGGGCGAGATCGGTGCTGCGGCGCTCGAGGAAGATGTCGGCTTCGTCGATCAGCAGCACCGCCTTCCAGCGATGGGCGAGATCAAACCACTTCGTAATCTCGGTCTCGATGCTCTCCTCGTTCGTACCGAGGTCGCCAATCGTCAGGCTCACCATGGGCCGCCGCGTGTGCAGCGCAGTGAGTTCGACGGTGTAGGTTTTGCCGACACCGGGAGGACCGTAGAGAAGGACGGCCACGCCGGCGCCCTTGTGCTGCACGAAATCGGCCGTCCACTTGACCTTCGACTTCAGCTGGCGGTGGGACAGTGCCTTGATGATCTCGCTGTTCTCGTCGCCGATGTTGGCGTCAGGGACAGCGTACTTGGGCTCCTCGACCGGATGCATGTGGTCGATGTGCACCGGCGACCAGAACTTCTCGGCCAAAGCGAAGCCGGGCATGACGGGGCACATGAGGAAGAGGTGGTCGTCGGTCAGCAGCTCGCGAGAGTGGTTCTCGGTGTTAATGTAGATGGGCTGCGGGAATCCGGGACGTTGCTTGGGATCGACGCGGCCATCCTCGAGGCTGTAGTCCCAGGTCAGGGACCACTTGTGGTCAGGGACCGTCTCACCCGAGGGGATGGTGGCTTCGGCCATCATCGGGCCCTTGTACACGCGCTTCTTCTCGTCCATGCACTCGCCCTCATAGGTGACGTATGCGTGGCCGTGCCAGAGGATGTCCCGCATCTTGCGTCCGCGGGCCTCGAACTTCTCGCGCCGCGCGTTGGCGTCGGTCTTGTCGGAGAACTCACGCGGATAGATGGGGAGGCTGGTGACGTGCTTTTCGCCCTCGAAGAAGGGGATGTCGACGCTGACCTCGGCGTAGCCGACGCAGCGCGTGTACCACGAGTTGTCCATACACCAGCCGGTGATCTTCCACTTTGGCGGTGCGCCCTCGCTGTCAGCGGGGAGAGACTCGGCTTCCTTGATCATGACGCCCAGCCAGATGTCTTCGTACTTCGCATAGGCAAGCGATCCCGGCCGCATCAGGTACCAGAGGTCGTCGAATGTCACCGTGGCCTCATCCTTCTTGAGACGGCGGCGTGCTGGCAGCACCGTCTTCTCTACGTGCGGGTCGAGGAAGTCAAGGAGGATCTGGAGGTGCTCGTACGTGACATCGGTATCAGTCTTCTCTGACTCATCTGCGCCGGCAGGCGTCCGCTCGAGGGCAAGGTTATTGCTGTAGTTTCGGAGCTCGGTGATGTGATGCACGAGGGCGCAGTATGGCTCGTGGACGGTGATGGTGTCACCAGTCAGGTTCTGCCTGAAAAGGTCGTGAGTCGCTGTTCAAATATTCCGAACTCCAGAGAAAGCCATTACCTCGGGTAGTACTCCACAACCTCCCTGATAGCAGTCAGGAGCAGCGGTGAATGGATGACCATCCTCGTCTCGTTAACATCGAGGATCCGCTTGCCCTCCAGCGTCTTCTTCGGCTTCTCCTTCTCCTTCTCCTTAGCACTGGACTCATCCTCGTCGTCCGAGTCTTCGAGATTCATAGGGCCTTCTGCGTTGAACATCTTCATGTAGTCTGCGTATTTGGGCCGCTTGGAGGCGACTTTTATCGAGGTGATGATCTCGAACACAGGCATCGTCTCGTCGATGTCGGTCGGGCCTGCTGTCACTTGCAAGTCGAATGGCGTATCATCCTGCTTGCAATCGAAGTTGGGGCCGTACGAGTCCTCGCACTCAACCTTGTATCTGATCTTGGGGGAAATCTTCTTGGGGGCTTCGGCCGCCGCGGCGACCGGGGCGTTTGCAGTGCTGGAATCCGCCATTGTGCTTGTGTTTTGGTCGTGAAAGAAAGATGTCAAGGAATCAGTGGTTGAGATTGTGAGAGTGCACAGAGAGGAGGGTTGGATGCTGAGGAAGTAAGGCGAGAAGCTGGAGGTTATAAGCGTGGGAGTAGCTGGGATGACATCTGGGCTTCAGCCTCCGGCTAGGCGGCAGAGAGTGCTTCAGCCACCACTATGCTTATCGGTCCAGCGTATTTGGCAGCCAGCGGGCCGTGCAGCGGCAGGCAGAAGCGCAGCGGTGAGATTTAAGCTCGGCCCGGTTCCGAAACGGTGACTCCACATGGAAGTCGGTGTCCCGGCCCATGGTTCAACGCATTACAGCCTCCACTTGTCTTATGACATACCGTACCAAGGCAGCAAGAAATGGACGAGGTTTTGATGGGTTCTGTTCGATGGTCGATGAATTGAGGCCTTTGAAGATGAATCCAGGGGTAATTGCTGTGATGACGGCTTGCATACGGTGTATCAGAGATGCATTCAGGATTCGCAGGAACAGGCCTATCACGACATGGTGCGCTGGCTGGCGCGGAGCTAGCTGCAGGATGCACTGCCCCCACCCGGTGCTGATGTGTGGCTGAGCTGATGGCTGCCTGCCACACGGACCATTTCCTCCCCGCTCCTCCACACGCACCTACCAGTAGTGTACTAATAAACATGTTTAGTTGATGGATTGGCACAACCAACTCCATCAGACTTTATCATCGGCGAAGTGCATAGCTGGGATTTCATTGCCGCCGAATACAAGTGAGTGTGATCTCTTTGTCGCTGTACGACCTACTACTGCTACCACTACTACTGCTACTACGGCTATATTTGCTGCCTTCGCATGATCGCCAAGTGCGTCATTTTTCCGTCTACCATCATCCACCGCTTTCTGCTACAGGTTGAATTTAGGGAGCGGCCGATGAGTCATGACGGCGCAGTTGCCGACATCCGAGTGCATAGGGCAGGCTCGGCGGGCGGGCGGGCGGGTGAGATTTCTGGCACGACCAGGCGCGCATCCTGGCGAAAACGGCATCCGTTATCTGGACGGCATCTAGTCCTGCAATCACGGCTGCAGCTGCGTCCCCCTGCATCCGCCCTTCCCCCGCTCTCTGACCTACTACATGCAGTTCCCTCCTGCAGCCGATGGCTAGCGTGGATTTGTTTTTGACAAAGTCTCTTGATGATAGTAGGGTTAAGTAAGCTGAAAAGAAACTAGCTAAGAAAAATGCGGGAAGCATGTCAACCACCGAGGTACGTCATATATACCGGGAGGAGAGTGACCCAAAGCCAAGAAACATTGAACAACGAGGTAACATCGTGGAAGCAAGGAGGCACTTGCAAAAAGAATCCCTGGCGAAGTCACAACACCATCGCGGAACGCAGATCGAAAGCGGTGATGGCAACGATGAACCCACGCTTCCCACCTCTTCTCCATAGCAAGTGCCAAATGCCATGATGGCGCGAACATCAGTATGGCAACAGATGAAACTCGCCACAGTAGCTTTTCCGTCGACGAGTCAAAGCTTGCATTCCAAGCCAGAGCATGAAGGCCCCCGTAGAATATGCCGGAAAGGTAGAGACAGAAGAAAAAGAGGCGCATTTCCGAGGGGCTGTAGGACCAGGATAAGTCGTAGAACAGATGTTTCTCCTCCCAATCGTGGAAGCTGTCTGGCGGTCGATTCGTGGCTGTTCGAGAGAAGCCGACAAGCTGGCAATGGTTTTGGATCAAATCAGCCGCCAGGTTGATGGCTTTGGTAAAGCGTTGTTCTTCATCCGTCGAGTGGAAGCTGAAGCCTTGCTCTTCATCCCTCAAGGGGTACCTGTCAAGGTAAAGTCCCTTGATTTCCACCTCCCCGCTGTCGATTGGTGACTCTGACGATAACGGTTCCTTTTCTTGCAGCATTTGCTCTGGGTCGGTTCGCTGCATTTTCCATGCTTCCCTCTCCCTCTTTGAAAATGGACTCAGCAGTATCTTTTTGTTGTAAAGTTCTGATTTGAGCCATAGAAATGCGGCCAGCCGTGCCGAATCGCCATCATCGCCGCTGGAAACCCGAACGTGTGTGGGCAACTCGATGTCCAATGGTTTGTGCCACCAGAACATGTAAATAAGCAACACACATAACGAATGTCCAAAGGTATTCAACTACGCAAGACCTTAGTCATTTGGTGGCCTGGGAAACTGGGTAAAAAACAGACCTCCAGTAGTGAAATCGGCAGAGACACGGCAACCCGACTGACGCACTGCACGACGAACCACAAAGCCTGCAGGCAGGCAATAAGCTTTGCAGCCCCATCTGCATTGCTTTTGTCATCAATCTCTTCCTCAAGCATCGTCGGCAGCAGTTGAGGAAACATCTGTGCCATCTCCTTGTATTCTCGGCACCGCAAAGGCATTTCGGCAGGCAATGGCGACATCTCATCGGTAGACACATCGAGAACATAGCCGCCCATAGTGGCATAGAAGGCTTGCTTTAAGGTGCAACCTCTGCCTTGGGATTGAAGGAGCCGTTGCTATGCATGTCAGCTGTTTATTACAAGATTCAAGGGCAGATGCAGGATTACAAGGCTCCGCGCATCTTCGAGCTCCGTGTAAGCGTAGAAGACGACAATCTCTGGCATTATCAACGCGCAGATAAGCCAGAGGATCCTTTTGTGGTGTTTGCGAAGCATCTTGAACGGCCGGGTACTCTCAGTAGGACGGCTGCTGGATATGTTTGGGTGAACGGACGACCAAACGCAGAGAGTGATTGTGATAAGGCAGGATGAGAGAAGAGAAAATGTGCCACGTGTTGTTGGCTCCGTGGTCCAGGAGACAACCTGGGTTTCGTTTCCAAAAATCCACGACATTTGATGAATGGTCCCGCAGTGGGAAGAAGAGGGGCTAGTGAGAAGAGGCAAGAAGAAGGTTTCAGGACCACTGTAAAGAGAAAATATGAAGGGGGAGCATTACAATCAGCTGGATTAATAGTTAAACGTGGTTTGACGGGTCGGCCAAAAATAAAACGCGCTTCATCTGTATTTCAGAAGGGTTGTACCACACATTTGGCAGCAGGCTACAGAAATGCAACCCAATTCCCCCGCATGTTTGACATTCGCGTGGCAATGGGGCTGAAAGTGGTAGCAATGTTTCTTAAAACATGCAGGCCAACATCACGTCAGCGTCCTGATCAAGCAGTCTGACGGAAAAGGGCCACGCAACGTGCTGAAGGCGGGCCATTCTATGTTGCATTCAATTGCTAAGAAAAGTACTTGCAGCCATATCCACGTGTTTTAAGATGTTTCGGATTCTTCTTGTACGAACCCCATTTAAATCTGTTCCGACAGGTATGTGCAACAGGTTACTGTCATAATATATCTGAGCGAATATGCAGTCAGGTACCATCTTTCACTCCTGGTAATGTCTGGCCGCAAAGATCTGACTTTTCTATGCATTCAATGTCATCTATCCCCCTCCCGAATGCATACTGTTTGTGATGCTATGCCGTCTTCAAAATTCAGTTGAGCTCAGCTCGGCCCCCGCAAATCACGGAGCTGGTGCGTGCTACAAAAACGTGCAGGGTTGACAGCTCGCAGCTGCGCCTCGGCCACGCCGGATGACTCGTACAACTTAACCACGCGGAACTGCAGAAAGGGTTGGAGAGCTTATCAAGGATAAGACAGATATGGCGGACAAAATCGTGTCTTGGATTACGGACCACGTCATTTTGCTGATTCTCGGCCCCCAGCTCAACTTCTGCGATTGTTGAAACTCTCTTGGTGGAAGTTGTCGCACAACGTCTTGTATGTATGGCAGTCACAGTGGCTCCCAATCATTCTTCAAGGAAATTCCGAGAATGACTAGCAAAGACACATTTCGCAACCGAAAGGAGCCAATGTGATGGCATGGCGCAGTTCTGGTCAGGATCGCAGCCAAGATGGCGCAGCTGATACACGTGGTGTCTAAATTTTGTGTAGCCGGTCTTAAGCAGCCCTCGAAGATTCTCGTATTCCGCAATGTCGTATTTTGTGCCCTTGAGGTTCAGGAACGGAGAGGCCTACGCTGGAAATCATATCTTTCGTCTACTTTGTCTATGCTAAATCTTAACTTCTACAATAGAGGGCAGGGCTACAATGCGGGAATACAACCCATCTAGTCCCTCTATTCCCTACACCCGGTACTTCCTCAACTCCGGATCCCTCAGCAGCTTCTCCATCGTATCAGCAGCCAAGTACACCTGCACATCAACCCCATCATCAGCCCAATGCCTCGTCTCCTGCCGCCGCACGCCCCCGTCCCGCGGCGGCGCCTCCATAAGCTGCACGAGCCCATCCAACCTCGGCATGGCCGCATGCACGAGGCGCGGCCTTCCACCACCACCACCAACCCCAAACTCCACCTCATACAACCGCGTATGAATCCACGACGTGACGAGCAGGTGCCTGCGTCCCAGAAACGCCTGCCACAAGCGCTGCGGACTCTGCTCTCGCATCTTCTCCGCGACGTGCCCGGCGACGGCTTCAGGCGTGAAAGCCGCAACCGTCTTGCGGAGCAGCCGGCTAGCGGCGGACGAAGAAACGACGTCCCGCGCAGGCGCCGTCGCGGCGGCGATGACGAGCGGCGAGCCGACGAAGCGGTCCGGCAGCGGCGGGGCGAGGCGCGCGCGCACGCCGAGCGTGTAGTCGAGCGTCACGGGCTCGTCGGTGTCGGCTTGGCCGCGGGCGCGGGTGACGCAGGACCAGATGTGGCCGAGCAGGGCGTCGAGGCGGCTGATGGTGCGGGAGGAGGAGGAGTCGTCGGGAGTGGCTGCTGCTGCTGCTGTTGTTGCTTGCCACAGGCGCAGCAGCTCCGGGCCGGGGAAGTGCAGCACGCGGTGGGCGACGGGCGCGGCCAGGTCCCAGTCGGCCCAGGGCATGGGCGTGCCGGGCGGGTCGAGCGGCGGCGGGCCGTCCCGGAGAAGCTCGGCGGGCGGGGAGACGGGCGGGAAGGGGCTGCCGGCGTTGGATATCCACCAGTCGAAGCGATTGCATGGGAGCGCGGCTGCGTTCGATGGCTGCGGCGCGGCGCGGGCGTCCAGCAGGCTGGGGTCGAAGAGCGGGCCGGGGGCGGGCGGCGGAAGGCTGCTGCGGGCTGCGGCGGCCCAGTCGCGGACGAAATGCGCGAGCGCGTGGGCGTCGGCGAGCGGGTGTGCGAGGCGGAGACCGATGGCCAGGCCGCCGCAGGTGAAGGAAGTGACTTGCACCAGCACGGCCGGGCGTGGGGGAGCGTTGCCGTCGTCGCCGCGGGCGGCAGGCGCAGCCAAAGGCGTGGATGGCACCAGCTGGGCGGCTGGAAAGCTCGACGGATCCCAGTCAAGTTCGCCGTCGACGCGGGGTGGAGCGACGCTGGCAAGGGCGACATCGCAGCGGGCCTCGACGAACACCACGCCAGGGTCGTCGGGATGGCCCCAGGTTAGGGCTAAACGACCATGGCGGGTGGCTGCGTCGAAGGGAAGGCAGTGCAGACTGCCGCACCACTGCGGATACGCATCTAGCACGCGCCGCAGTGCCTCAAGTAGGAAAGTTGGCGTTGGTGCGGGCGCATCGTAGGCCAGCACTGTCTCGGTGGGTGTGAAATTGGCGACCGTGGCGTCAAGAATCGAAAGCGGTACGGTGCGCTCCTCAAAACAGCCCGACGCCGGAAAGACGCGTGCCTCGGCGACAAAGAAGACGGACATGGCTGAATGTAAACGCTGCCGAGCTTCGTGCTCCTTGTCAAGCCGGGACCGGGATTTAATATTCAACTCATGTTGATAAGCAATTCATTATGAGACAGAATGATGAAGGTTTCACGCGCCTTGGCGCCAAGACTTGACTGTATACAAGATTGTGCTAAGTTTGTATTCCTTTCTTATCATCCCTATAGCGCATTGGCGAGGTGATATATTGTGTAGAAGAACGAGAAACCAAAAGAGATTCTATCAAGCATTGCAAATAAAAGCTAAATTGACGATACAGTCAACATTTGCAGTCTAAATAGACAACTCAGTCCAAACCAAAATTTAGTCAATAATCCAGTATTGACTTTCCGATAGCACCCTACCCCCAATCGCTTGATATTCGCCTTCAAAGAGAGTGTTCAAGCCACGATGGACCACCTTGCGTTTTTCGGCGTGCTCATTCATCTGTTCCTCAAACATTTCAACTGTAGCGTTGAATGCTATATACCGGGGCATCGCTACGTCTACAGTATATCCACGCCTCGCACACACAATCCCTTCATCTTCCCCATGCACGTAGACGAGTACTCCAGTTATACGGTTGCTGTCGTTGAAATCTGTAGCTGGATCAAACAAGATTGCCATAGAGGTGTAGTTGGAGACCGTAACTTCTGGCGTTGACTCGGTGTCGTTGACCTCTCGGGTGGCGAGGCAGATATAGTTTCCTCCGCCATCTCGAACAAGGAAAGTCCTGTACAGCGGTGCATCCAAGACGTTCGGAAGCAAAATAGCTGTGGCCTCAATTAGGAGGCCCTTCTCATCAAGAAGGACCCCCGTCCGATTATTTTCTCCGAAGTCTTGGAGCTCGCTTCCGCCGCCTTGTAGTAGAGTCGCTGGCGCCCATCGAAAGCCTGGCTCTTCTAACCGTTGCCCCCGCCAGAACATGATGTCCTGGGGTATCACGGGACAGTTCTTCCAAAACGCACACATTCGTAGCTCTCCCGGCGCATCAAGGATGTGGGAAACATCGCAACCCGCCATGGAGCCAATGCATAAAGCTTCATCTTTGATATAGCTTGTTGTGCGGTCCACGAGGCTGTGGGCAATATTGAACACGCTGTAAGCGTGGGTTTCCCGCTCATTCGACGACATGTTGTCTCCGCGGATAGCCATCCAAAGCTTTGTTGTATCCAATTGGTCGACCTCATATGGCCTATGCCTGTTCCCGTGGGCTAATACCAAAGGCTTGTTAATGCAGTGGAGGCCATTGGAAAATTGGAAGTAGAGCTCTTTCGCCAAGAGACCTTCCTGCCACGTCCATAGACGGCTCATCCATCCTGAACAGAACATCCTAACTGTCAACTCCAACGGTGAAAGGTCGTCAAACGAGAAAGCCCGGAGCTGGCTATCCAAAACGAGGACTGACTTCGCCTGTGCGTATGTCTCTCTCATTTTCACAATTGCTTTCTTCCTCATCAAACTTTGTTGCTCCTTCATCTCCTTCTCCTCCTCAGTCGGCTCCACTGGGCAGCATAGAGTATCGAGCCAGATGGCTGTTGTGCCGTCACACCCTGGAAGCTCTTTTACGGCCCGGAAAATGGTGGACAACTGGCACCCAGCCACCGCATTTGCCTTCGGATTGCCCAAACCGTCAGACCAGACATGCGAGATGGCCACGTAGTTTGTTTCTTTGGTAGACTCTTCAAGCTGTAAAGGCCTGCCGGAAGCCTGGATATTAGACGGTTTGACGACCGGTATTGAGCCCTTGTCCAGAATGCCACATAACTGAGACATATCCACGTGGACCAGGTCACAGTTGCATTCCGTTTCTGCGTGTTGGTGTTTGTACGTTTCCTTGCAAATCATATTTGCCTGACATGCGTTCTTCGTGCACTTTCCATGATCCTTCATGATGTCGGGAGGGCTCAGGGTGCTGGCGACGTACTTTGTAGAAAGGCTGAGTCTTGACCGTGACATCCTGGCAGCCGCATTGGGGCACCACCCAGATGACACCATTTCCGAGGTCAAAAGCGGTACAAGTTTGTCACTGTCTTCGAACTCTGCCATCCCAGGCTGTTCTCGTGTGAAGGGATCCTTGGATATAGACTCAATACGAAAACCGCTTGGATCGTACAATCGCTGGTTGTAACTGCAGACGAAGTCCAGTGTGAGACCAATCGAGAGCAAGAACATCGGGTCCAGTGACGCAGCAACAACAAGAGTGTTGTAAACGCTGGAAGCAGTTTGCAGGCAGTCAACGATATGGTCAAATCTGTCTATTTTCTTCGGTTGGGCCGCATGGTGCTCGGCGACCTTGAGTAGATTCTTGGTGTGAATGACAGTGGTGCCTCCTGAATCCTGGTCCACGAAGTCTTCAAATCGAGCAAGGTCATCGAAGGTAAGACGGAGCAGGCCGAAGAAAAGCCAAGATTGGATGAAGTCAAGCGCCGTCCCTTCTGTAATCCCGTTGTCGGACTCCGTTTCATCAAAATCAACCCAGAATTCTGGATCAAAAATGTCGTCCATGTCCCAGCCCTCGTGTTGCGGGTAAGACAGGAAATCATCCCAGTTGTACTCCTCGCGGCAAAAGCATGGTATTATTGGAGGATTCCATGGTCTTCCAAATGGAGGAGGAAGGTGGTCCATTCAGTCGGCAAACTTGTCAGATTTCGTTAACGGAGTCTGTCTTCCCTTGAGGGCGAGCAGGGTGTGAAAGAACAGTGTGCGATACGAAGAAAAATTTGTGCGAACAAGGACTGAGAAGAGGAAAATAGTTTGGCTGTGAAGTTGAGCCGGTAGATATGAAATGGCAGTGAGCTGAGCTTATATGTTATTCAACGAGTCACATGCGAGAGGGCAACAAGCAGGCAAAAACTACACTATCACGCCACTTTCGCCTTGAAATTCTCCACAGCTCGGTCTTGCCAGCTTCCTAAGCTGTTGCCTGAATTGATAAGACATTCTGACCACTGAAACAGTGAACGGGAGTAATGCAGAAGCCTTACTCGCTTCGCATGTCCTTAATCAGAATGCAAGGCTGACTTGGCATTCGTGATCGAAACCATGAGCCAATAACATTTAGCCGCCCTGCTACATGTGATACATTTGCTGCGAGACGACAGTTTGTCTTACCTGCGGTTGCCAAGAGCTGAATACAAGGGTGCCATGGATAACTCTGATAGGACAAAATGCAATGTGCTCGAGGCAATGTATGGATTTCTTTGCAGTCATGCTGCACTTGTTGGCAATGGTTTTCAGCTCTTTTGATGCGTCTGTTAGATGGTCGCAGCCCGTACTACTAAATTGCCGATGAGACGGGATTTTCAACATCCAACATCACGGCAATTTTCAAGGACGTATTGACCGAGTCGAGAAGCTCTCCTCAACACGAATTCAACGTGTATTACCACGATGCTCACCACTGCAATATACTTGCATACGAGAAACAAATCGTATTCTAAAAAGTCTTCGAGCTCGGTAACGATAGTGTAAAAGAAGTAATCGGTGAGTAGCAGTTCTCGCGGAATGGACCGCTAAAGTCGCCAATGCGACATGAAGCTAATGAGTGATAGCAATAGTAAGAGAGTCGTGAAGGAAAACTATCAAGAGAGAGAAGAAAGATCTTTCCGGATAGCCTACTCTGACAGAATATGCCATGTAAGACCTCCGATAACATGCTTGTATACGTTCTTGGTGCCAAACCCTACCAATGTAGGGCAGTGCACAAAGGGATAAACGTTAAGCAACTCCCCAACAAACTTGGCCCTGGGGGTAGCAATCGGTTCCGCTCCGATTGAAGACTTAACAGCATAGGCTCCAGGAAGTTTGTAGTCTAACATGCATTAGACTGCTTTCACAATGAAGCTGCCAATCCTGTCGTTCCATCCGATATCCAGAAGGTTACCCTGCCACGCTATTAGCATGAAGCCTTCCAAATAGCACGAGAACTTACGTAGCCAGGGTAGTTAATAGTTGGGCCAAGGACGCTGCAGTCATAGTCCTCATATATCACTGCGGCGTTGCCTTGGTCCGGGCCGAACGAGGAGATGGTGTGGTACCTTTGCAACCGTCAGCTCACATACACAAATTAGAAATACGCAACGGACCATGGCGGATCAAGCCGGATGCACACGTCGAAAGGCTGAATGGCATAGCCGGTGGTCCCTCCCCAGTTGATGTCTGTGGTGATAAAAATCTGTTTCCGATCAGAGATGCTTGGAAGGGGAAGAAGGCGCGGATACGAACACCTCCAGGACTGCGTTTGTCCAGGCCTCGGTGCGTGTCAACAACGGTGTCGTTGAAGGAGAGAGTGGTGAAGCTCGTAGTAGGAGAAGCAGCGCAGCAGAGGAAAAAGGAGACGAATGTAAGAAGGAACATTGTGCTAGCTGTTCTGATGGGGATACAATGCCAAATGTCAAGTGGGTTTGGTGCTCGTTGGGCTCCGAAAGCTGAGGTGTTCCTCCCTGCTTTATACGGCCGTCTCGTGGCTAGTGGAAGGGGAAGTAAAGAGCGAATAAATGCTAGAATCAGCCAGACAAGTCATTAAGTTGATCAGTAAGCTTAGTTTGGCGGGGGGTGTGTCCTAATTAGGCTGGTGTCACAGCGTCCGTATTACGCATCCGTATCGCCAGACACCCCGGCTCTCATCATTGGAAAACTTGAAGGGCGGAGCTGCACTTGACAACCAATTTACCTTCGTATTTTCATCGGACTTACTGCAAGCCTTCAATGATGAGTAACACGAAGGCTGGAACGTGGCTGCTTTGCTCGGCTAAAAGCTTGCACGCCCCACCTCATCATCACGCACATAAAGTGGGACCGACATACCTGGGAGGCAAGCTGCCATTTTTCTTCGCGTCACAAGGCCGATGTATTGCTGGGTATTTGTGCGATGGCAGCCGAAAATCAATGAACTGAAAGTTATTGAAGGATCTCAATCCTTGGCCATCGTGCTGCAGAAAATTCGTTTGAGGTGTTGTTCGCGTCCTGCAAGTTTTTATTTTCTCGGAAAAGATAAATCTCCCACGTATCAAGTTACAAGCAGATTTACGAACACCTGTGCTTGAAGACTTGATAAAGATACTGCCAAATTTTCAAGATTCAGCTGGCATGTCAGTGCGAAAGTAGCATCAATGTAAGAGAGCACGGAAGGAGGATTAAGGTGGAGGATCTTAGGTTCCGGATGGGCTACTGCGGTAGTGAAGTCAGAGAGACAAGAAATGACCCTCGTTGGAGGTGATACTACTGTCCAACGAGAGTGGGGCGGTGAGGGGGGAGGAAACGTGTGGGTGTTGGGGGAAAGCGGGGGCTATTGGTAGTGTCGTACTCCTGTTACCTCTGATGCTACCACAGCGGGGCTCTGGAGTAATTGTCATGGATTCAGGGAGGTGGATTCGGATGGTGGGGATTAGGGAGAGGCGCTTGAGCGTGACATGGTATCCTGTGTTTTCGTGGGGTTTAAAAATAACACACGCAATGCAACGTGCAAGCGTCACCTGGGGTATGTCAGCAGGAGGGATTTGGCACAAAGGACAGCAGGTAGTGACGAATCTCAACGCTATTCCTCTGGCTTTGCCATGGTGTAAATGTATCAAGATTGCGTGAAAAGCGTTATAATTAATTGGTATAGTACAATGGACAGCAACTGCATCTACTACGCCGACGGAAGGGCCAGCCAAGTAGCCGTCGTGTAATGAATCTGGCTCTCGTCCCAAGCCCAGGTCTGGTACCTGAAGCCCTCGGTGGTAACCTGGTCGACCTCCGTCCCAATGCGGACATTCGCGCCGGTATTGAATGCATTCAGATCCAAATGGTTGAACGCGGTGATAACCCTCGGCGGCTTCGAGAACTTGCCGGCGGGGAACTTGGCCCTGCCTTCGTCCCTCTTGCGGTTGAGGTCCACACCAATGTCGACCCTGTAGCTGCCGGAGATGATGCCAGTGTCCTCGCTGAAGGCGATCCACGAGAGGGAGGCCCAGTACAGGACGGACTGGTTCCAGCAGTCGGCGTGGATCTTGAAGCCGTTGGCGGTCACGTCGGTGGCGTAGGCGTTGATGCGCAGGCCGCGGCCCTTTTCCTCGTCCAGGCCGGTGAGCCACACGACGACCGTCGGCGCCTTCTTGAAGGCTTTGCTGAACTTGATGTCGCGGGCCGACGCCGAGCGGGCTTCGAACTTGCCGACTTGGAACCTGCTGGGGTCGTTGGTCGGGACGCCGAGCCAGGCCAGCTTCGCCCTGTGGTTGTCAAGTGTTAGCACTCAAGAGAAGTAAAAAGTTGGGGAAGGGGGAGAGGTGTGCGTACTGGTAGAGCGTCGTGTCGGCCCAGGAGTCGATATTGATGGAGAAGTCCTTGCCGGTGACGGACTCGACGTAGGACATGGCACGCGGGTTCGCCGCGCCCGCCATATCGAGATACGAGAGACCGAGCATGAAGGTCGGCACGGGGCCCTCGGGGAATTCTGACGTGTACGAGACAACGGACGTGGTGTGTGGGACCGGCTTGTCCCAAGGACGGGCGTCAGTGACGGCCCACACGCCGGCCGGCAGGATGGGGAACTCGTGGGCGTCGTCCTCAAGCTGACCAGCCGACGTCAAGCCCGTAGCAGCGCTGGCGCCGCCGCTCAGGTTGCCCCAGACCGGGCCCAGGCGGTACAGGCCGGCGGTGGGGTGGGCCTTGCTGACGTTCTTGGTGCGGCCCCAGAAGCCCTTGAGGTGGCCCTTCTCCAGCGCGGGGTCGAAGTGGGTGAGGACGAGGTCCTCGAACTGGGCGCCGCCGCGCAGGGCCTTGCCGGCGACAGCGGGCCGCCAGTCGTCGGCCTGGCCGAGCAGGTCGGGTCCGCGGTTGGTGTAGAGGCGGAGAGCCGTGACACGCACGCGAGCCTTTTCCGAGGCCATGCGGCCAACTTCGATGGAGCAGGCTATGACCTTCTCGTTCTGGTCCGGATGGATGTCTAGGGAGATGGTCTTGTCGCCGGCGGCATCGCTGCCGAGGTGGGTGACGAGGCCGTTGGAGTACTGCATGTGCAGGGCCGACACGACGCCGCTGGTGATCTCGACGCGCACGCGGATCAGCGAAAACTCGGGCTTCAGGAAGTCGACGCAGCAGAACAGGTCGCCGAAGTCGGAGCCCGACAGCACACCCAGCCGCAGGTTCTCGCTCAGCGAGGGCCGCTCCGCAGTGAGGTCCTTGATCTTCTGCTGCTCGTCGGCGGCCAGGCCGGCCACGTTGTCGCCGTCGTAGAGGGACGGGTAGACCTTTTCGGCGTCGTCGGCTTTGATGACCTCGGTGGTGAGCGGGTTGACGGGCTCCTTCTTGATGGCCTCGACCTTGGGCAGGCGGTCGGCGAAGGCCAGCGAGCTCTGGAATTGCTCGCCGCGCGTTTCGTCGGTGGCAAGGCCGGGCTTCTTGGTGATCTCGTCGACCTCCTTGACAATCTTCATCATCTGGTACATGCAGGCGCGCTTGGCGAGGTCAACGCCCTTGTACGAGGGTGTGAATTTGCGCTCGTCGTCGATGCGGGAAAGCGTTGTGCTGTCGGCGGCCGTCTCGTTCATGGGCATGTATCGCTTGCTGCCGGACTGGACATCGAACATCTCGGTCGACAGCTTGCGGTACATGTTCTTGTAGTCCATGTAAGTGTCGAGCAGCGAGTTCGTGTACATAGTGGCGTTTTCGTAGTAGAGGGGAATCAGCTTCTCGGGCTTGAGGGCCAGGAAGCTCCGCAGCGTCTCATACTTGGTCAGAATGGCGTAGGTCCTCTGCGGAGTGGTTGCCACGAGCTCAGGGAATCTGGCGGCCGCAGCCCGGAGGGTATCAATGGTCCAGGGCTCATCCATGGGCTTGATGTTGCCGCCACCCGACCAGCTGACCTGGATCGTCGTCTCTGTGTTGTTGTTGATGTTCTGCTTCGCCACTTTGACGTTTGCTTCGGCCTCGATGTCTGCCGCACCAACCGACAGGGCAACTTTAGCTCCAGCCTCAATGTCAGTTTTACGCTCCTTGTTCAAGACCTTCATGCTGACGAGGGCATTGAATTCTCCGCCCTCGAGAAATCCTGAGATGAAGGAATCGCCGTATATGTCTGAGAAGTTCTTCTCGTTGACAGATGGAAGGTTCTGGTACTTGAGGGCATCTTTGATGTTGATGGTCTGGTTGATGACCTTGACGCTGATGTAGAAATTCAGGTCGCTCTCCTTGAACTTGTCCGAGTTGATGAACGAGCCACGGCCCGATCCACCAATGGCACCATACTTAATAGAGAGCGAGCCGGAGATGTTCATGTCATCTGTGATCTCGCTGTTGAACGTTAGCGGGGAAATGCAAAAGGCAGAGATGAAATTACCTCAGCTTATCGACAAAGCGCGAGCTGTACGTGACAATCTACATTTTGTGTAAGCAACATGATGCTAGCGGTGAAAGGGATGCTTACCTGGCTGGGACCACGTTTGACTGTAGTCTTGGGCTGCTCTTCAGCGGAACTGATGTCCACATCGCCAAGCAAGCTGGACCGCAGGTTGTCCATGGTGAAGCCATCGTTGGTCAAGACGTTGACCAGGCGCTCTTGATCTACAGTAACGGCATCGTCGACACATATCTGTTGTGTGTACGAGTTGAAGCTGCGGATGGGAAGCGGTCAGAGATGATGGGGCGGAGCGGGGCGGGGCGGAGTGGAGCGGAATCAGGTGGGGGAGTGGAGTGGGGCGGGACACAACGGGCAGACGAACCCTTGGCCTATCTTTGGTCAGATCGGATCAACAATGAAGCGGGAAGTGGGATTTACCTATGCGCATGGCATTGTTGTACGGTGCCAGGAGAAGACTCATTTTGGATGTGTGGAGGAGGAGGTGCGGCGGTGATGCTGCTGATGGCTACACAGAGCGGAGCAGCTTTATATCCCCAGACCTCAACGCCTCGACGGGAGTTCCCCTGTGGCATTCTGGCAGCCGCGACGCGACGCTCAGCTAGCCACGAGGCGGCGCCACGGCTTTCAGCTGCTCAGCCAGACCACGGCGCCTCCCGCATGCGCACATATCAGCTCGGCGTGTCCACTCTCGCTTTTGCCCATCCTCACCCGCCATGGCCTCCCTCACGTACGACGCTCCAGACCTACTATCGTCCGATCCGCTCCTGCCCAACGTCGGCCGGCAGGGCCAAGCACGCCAGGTGCTAGCGCTGCCGTGGACGGGAAAGCGGCTGCGGCTGGGGACGTGTTTCCATTCGAATCTCGCCCACACCGAAGCGCCTTTCTCGGACTCGCCGCCGCTCTTCGCTTCCACGTGCGCCGGCACGTACCGCCCGTCCGGGGCCGACGCGTCCTTCCGGTCCAGCGATTCATCTTCGGCCGGATCCTCCTCCGAGCACCTCAGCACCGCGCTGGGCGTATCGGCCGGATGCCCCTTCCTCCGCGCCAGCGTCACCGGCCAGTACGACCGCGACGTGCTCAGCAACTTCGACGACTGCAAAACCTCGGTAGCCGCCTCCTACCGCTGCGGCACCATCTCCCTCAGCACACCACCACGCCTCACCACCGACGCCCTGCTGGTGCTCAAGTACGGCGGCGGGCTGGAGGCGCTCAAGCAGCGCTACGGCGACTACTACGTGGCGGCCTACGTGCTGGGGGCCGACGCGGGCGCGCTGGTCAGCCGGTCGTCGAGCGCGTCGACGGTGGCGGAGCGGCTGCAAGTCACGGTCAAGCTCAAGGTGCTCTTCTGGACCGCCAGCCACACCGAGTCCAAGAGCTGGAGCAACTCCACTAGCGCAGCCCGCGTCTCCGTGTCCGCCTTCTCGACCCTGGGCCCGCTGCGCCTCAGCGCCTCGGCAGCTGGGGGCTCCGAATTGCAGCGCCTGGCTGCCGACGCTAAGGCCGTGCTGGCTAGCATCGACAACGTGCCGGCCCGCGTCGAGGCTACCGTGGCTGAGCTGGGGGTGCGGCCTGGGGAGAAGGCGGTGGTGGGGGAGGACATGTGCGATGGGCTTTGTGATTCGGGGCTGGTTGTGGAGCTGGTGCTGATGCCCATTGAGACGCTGCGCGAGGTGCAGGCCTGGGCCACTAGCACCGACATCATCTGAGACGAGAGTCAGCAAATTTTGCAATTGCCCCTGCGCCTCGTCGCTAGTTTTGGCAAGCATTCGTACATGTCATTTCCAAATCTGGCCACATGTCTTCTTTTTGTGTTTGCTTTTCCGCACTACTCCTTTTACCCCGCAGACCCTGCGGCTCGTGCGTGGAGCGAGGTGTGGCTGGAACGGCCTGGGCTTCCGCCGAAGCTAGCGGACGCGCCAGCACTAAAGTAGATAGATACGATGTCTACTACTCTACGACGGAGAACAGCAGTGAAAACATTCAATAAAACACGAATTCACCATATACAAGACACTAATTTCAACTCACTCTCCTTCACTCAATTCCAAACCTCCTTCACACTATGCAGATGCCTGAAACTAGTACTACACGTGACCAAGACCTCTACCACTCAAGCTAATTTGCTGTCTGACTTTCTAGACTCCGAGCTCTTGGACATGGTCTTGGAGGACCTGGAGGTTTACAAAGTTCCGCCATGCTCACGAAGGATATCATCCGTAGCTTTCTCACTAAGCATAAATATCGGGAGAACAGGGAATGCGCCAGGAACACGAGGAAAAGAGCTTCCATCGACCACCCGCAAGCCCTGTACACCTCTAACTCGAAGTTGAGAGTCAAGCACGGCCATAGGATCGTTATCCGCGCCGATTTTGCAGGAGCTGGTTGCATGATGGGCAAAACCATGGCCCATGATGCGATCGATTGCTTCAGCGTCGCTCTCGCAGCCGCCATTGCATGGGAATTCTTGCGTGAATGGGCCGATGGGACTTGGAACTGAGTCAAGGACTCTCTGAGCAAACTTAGCTCCTTCAAGTAGACCCTGCAAGTCGACAGAATCTGGTCCAGCCTCGGAATAAAAGTTAAAGAAGATTTCCGGCGTATCTCGCGGATTGGCCGAACGTAAAGATACAGTTCCGTTGCTGCCGCGCGGGTGCATCTTTGCCATGAGGAAACAAAAAGTATTGCGCAATTCAGGGCCAGGGATCCCTGGAGCTCGAGGGTAGAAGCCGCGGAATGCCCCTGGAAACTGCCAGATAAGCAAGTCGTTTTCGCCACTGGCCGAGGCATTGGTGCGATATTGCGTTATTCCAATACGGCCTTGCGTGTATGGACCTTCACCCCTACGCCAAAGCTCAAGACAGGGGTCGTCCTCTGTGGTACCCATCGTGCAAGCAGGTCCGTTGTTCTCGAAGTCGGTTGAGGCGTGCGCAATAACGCTGGTTTCGTAGTTGTCTTGCAGATTGTTGCCAACTCCCGGCAGATCCACAATGACGGGAATATCGAAATGTGATAGTTCGTCAGCTGGGCCTATGCCACTCAGCTTCAAAATTTGAGGTGAGTTGAATGCACCGCCAGAGACGATTGCTTCTTTCTTTATCCTCACGATACCCGATTCACCAGTCGAGTTTGCGTTGTACCGCGGATCGGCACTGTACATCGCAGACCCCCAAAGAAACTCTACACCAGTAGCCCTAGGCGTATTTCCTGCAGTGGCGTTGTCGAACAAGACGCGAGTGGCGAGAGCGTTGAACATGACGTCCAGGGGGAATTTTTTTGAGCCATCTGGATTGGTAGCCGTGGAGACCGTGTAAACACGCGTGCGCGCGTCACTACGCCTGCCCTGTGCGTCGATGTGTTGAGCGAAACCGTATAGTCCCTGCGTCGTGTCCCGTTGCGGATCCGCACTGTTGACGTCCCCACGAAGCAGCTCTTCAACGGGTTCGTTATGACCTAACTCGGCGGCGAGGCTTTCGAGAACCTCTGAGAACTGGGGCTGCTGCTCCACAACTGCAGGGTTTGGCTGAGACTGTCCAAGGTATCCGCTGAAGCCATGTCCTTCGGTGCCGTTGGGCAAGTAATGATTGCGCTCAAGGCGCTGAAACAACCGATGCATGTTCGAAGGTCTAAAGAAAACCATTAGACTTTATTAAGCTTAAGCATGACAAAAAGAACTCACCCCCAAGTATCATCCCCAGTGATATTTGAGATATATTCCCAGTCACTCGCAGGAGGTTGGATGGAAATCATGGCGTTGCGGGTCGCAGATCCTTTACATAATTAGCATTATCGACGACGAGAACGTTTTAGGTACCTACCTCCAAGCGTTCCGGCACGCGGATAGTATGCTCCAAGTCTTTCCGATCCCGGTGGAGGGCTCTGGCCCACATGGTACGACCCGTTCGAGGTCCGCCAAGTAAAATACTCGTAATTGTTGTGCAGGTCATCGTTGGCATGGTATCGCACAAAGAAATCCCAGCGCTGGTCAGGGACATGGATTGCCTGAGGATAAAGCTCGGGAACCTGCTGGACTAGAGTATCACCATGGTCCTCACCCGCTTCCAAGAGCAGGACAGAATGGCCTGCTATGGCAAGATTTGCCGCCAACGGCCCGCCACCTGGTCCGGAGCCAATGACAACAAAGTCGTACGTCTTGTTGGCGACGTCGGCCGGCGTGACGCCGGAAATGGATTGAGAGTGAACATGCCGGCTAAGTAACAGTGCAGCACCATACAGAAGCATGGGACGATTGAGGGAGACCAGTCGAGACAACATGACGAAGTCTAGGTCGTGAGTTTTCACTTGCGGTAGAGGAGGCTGGTAGAAGTCGGACGAAGAACAGCTTTTGCTAGACGATCAAGAAGAGAGAACTTTGAGCTTGTTGCTTTTTCACCCGCTGCGGTACCCACGTCCTTATATGCGTAAAACAATTCAAGCGATCTTAATGGTAAGCCGCTAATGTCTTGGAGGTCCACAACATGACGCGTCGAAATAAAATGAATATGATGGGCTAAGTCTAGTTGTGTCTAATGGTCTAAGTGTCGGTAGGCTTGGCTTTACTCTGTCCTACCTGTTGCTAACCGAAACACGAGAGAAGGTCATCTACGGAGACGTAGTCAGAGGTTATAGCGAATACGAAGCCTTGGCATTTGCTCTCTTGGCCTTTAGCGTCTCTCTTAGTATAATGCTAGCCAAATACTTAGTACGCTACTTTCAAGCAAACTAAGTACGTTATAGTATTATAGAATAAATATCCTTATACCATTGTATAACAAATTATACGAGGCGTCTGACAGCATTTGATGGTACTCTGCTGTGATAGTTGTCCGCCCGTGCATACAGGTTTCATGCCAAGCCGTGCCAAACTTCGTGGTGGAGAGCCTGAATACTAACTTTGTACAACTAAGCTACAAAGCCTCCCCTTACGCTGCGGCGGTTCTCGAATGGTATTGGGTCAGTGGCAGTGTTTGTCGGCCTGAGACTACCATCAAGCTGACTGTTTGTACAGGGAGCCGGCGCAAGCCTCTTGGCTGTTTCAGGCGTCCAACTGCAGAAAGTCGATAGAAGCCGAATGTGGAATGGAAAACACACGTTGCCTCGGCTGCCAGAAGTACATGACACGCACTGTGGTTGCAGGTGAGAGTACTGTTAGTGCCTCCACTGCGAAAACGGTAAAAAGCAAAGCCAGGCCAGCCAATAGCCGCTGGTTCCCGCACAGCCCCACTGGTAACGGACAAATAGGTGACTCGTTCCCCTAGCTCACAGCCACAATCCGCTGCAAGTCTGGGCGTATTTGATTGGCGCATGACTGCATGGTTGGGAGTAACTATGTCAGATGACAGCCGGCTGAGTCCTGGGCAGCTGGGCCATTTGCTTTGAAAAGGGAGGCAGTGTTACGGATCTACCTGTATATAGAGTTGTTGGGGCACGGTAAGCCACCAGGCTGATCATTGCTGAACCTTTTGTCGACTGAAAGTCGACGGGAGGTGGGCCGAATGGTCTTACACACCGACTTAGACCTAAAACGGTGTTACGATATACCTGGGGTGCAAAGGCGTTAGGAAGCGGTGTGGGCCGCCGGGGAGCGCCGCAGCGCAGCCGCCCGCGGAGAAAGTACCTCGCCAAGGCGAGGTTACGTCGGCAGGTGATGGAGCACCAGGAGGACAGCTTAGGGTAGTCAATCGTCCGTCCATTTGGGCGCGCGCGAGTCAATCACGCGTACCAATCCGACGCGATTGAAATGAGCATGACGTGATCAGACTTCACGCTTTTGGCAATGAAGAGACGTGTGAGTCTGAATATGTGTGCAAGTGCCTGACAGTCCCTTTTTTTTTTAAAAAAAAAAAACGCGTTCGTCGTGCCCTGCCTTAGTAGTAAACGTCTCATTGGCTTCTGCTCCTGATTCAAGAATGGTAGTTGCCAATGGAAGGTTTTAGAGATTAGCAGCCCGCTTAATCGCGGGAAACTTCCGACCCGAATGCTTACAAACCAGTGTGTTGACATCGGCGGATACAGAGTGTAGAAACTTCTTCACGACAACGTCCTGCTCAAATTCGACTGCGGCTTTGAATGTGCCCTCTGCCAGAGCTGTAGTCACATGACCTGGCTATGTATTGGGGAATTCCGCAAGAAGAGCTCAAGCGCTCTCATAACGGCCGACGAATCGCAGTAATGTTGGAGCGGGGTTTATTTTTAAGCTGGTGAAATCATTCAAAGTAAAGAATTCTAAGAGTCAAATGAGGCTCTAAGATTCGTCTTCGTGTTAAAAGAATTACCACGTATACAGCCAGGTAGCCGATCGGATGCAAATGGCACAGAAGATAGTATCCTATTGGCTGTTTTCCACCTCATAAATCTTGCAATGGTCAAGCCTCCCGTGATTTCCCCAGCCTTGTGAGAGGTCCTCGATTGCGAGTCCAACTTTAGTTGGTCCGTACTTGGTCCGTACTTGGTCCGCTGGCCAACTAGCCGACTGGCGAACGGTCTTGGCTCTAGATACAACCAGAATGAGCAGGATGACTAAGTAAGGCGAGGGCTTCTTGCTGGGATTCGCCTGCAGGCGCTAATAGAAAGGGTGTACTTTACTGGTTAGGAACCCTTGAACCTCGGTAAACAGAGCGATTAATGCCGTTTCTAATCATATCATGTGGGTCGTCGGGTCGGAACTCGTAGAAGCCGAATGGGATATTTAAGCACGCTCGACGCCGCTACTGAGAGCTGAAACTTATGCCACAATTTAGCACGTTATGGAGTCCTTTGATCAGGTTGTCCAGACGTTCCTCGAGAACAAAGAACAGCCCTTGCCAAGGATCACACTTGGTGTAGTCAACAAATCAGGTACGTAGGGAGGCCTTAACTTGACTCCTAAGATTCGGCTCTTGGGCTCTATGGCTGACCGTTGTTGCGTTTAAGGTACACTCAAGTATATTAAGTCCTTCGGAGAAGAGCTTGAGGGGCCCGAAGGCGAGACCTCTGATGGTGATGGAATTTACTGGATCGCGTCCTGCACGAAGTTTATCACAACCATCGCAGCTCTTCAATGTGTGGACAGAGGACTTCTAACCTTGGACGGGGACATTTCCAAAGTACTCCCTGAATGGAAAGACCCAAAGATCTTGGTTGGTCATGATGAGAACAAGCAGCCGATATTCAGGCCAGCTAAGAACACCATCACTCTCAGGTGATGCCCTCCTACAGGTCGGAAGTGCTTTTAGCGGACTAACAGAACGCCGGCTTACAGACAGCTGCTGACTCACTCAGCGGGGATGGCATATGGTTTCACAAGTGCTTTAGTGAGAGAGTACAGGCAAAACCGCGGTGAACTAGACCTCCTCCATCAGACAATCGTCAGTGTTCCCCCTCATCACCGCCTGAATCTTATTTACCAATGACTCTATGCAGGCCGAGAGCTATCCTTTGTTTCTTGTCTCTGAACCTGGCACCGAATGGCGCTACTCGCCATCCATCGACTGGGCGGGGAAAATGGTGTGTTGCATCCCTTCAAATTTGTTCCCACGTCGACTCGAAATTCACATCACCAGATTGAGCGTGCCACGCACAAAACCCTCGACGACTACATTACTACGCACATCTTTCAACCCCTCAACATTACTGACGCCACCTTTCACCTCCCAACACACCCCGCCCTCCAGTCTCGGCGATTGAAAGTCTGGCAGCGCACCCATTCCGGCCCGCTCGAACAAATGCAACATCCCCTAATACCCTCTCCTATCGCCGATGCACACGGGGGTGCGGGCCTCTACGCGTCTGCTCCGGCACTCTTAGCTGTTTACGCTGCAGCACTCCGTCGGGATACAAAGATCCTGCAGCCAGATACGTGGGCGAGTATGTTTAAGGATCAGCTGCAGACGACGGATGGAAAGGGATTAAGTGGGATCGAGCACGCACCAAAAGAGTTGCGAAACAACGTGTTAGGAAGCATACCGAACGGAGTAGGCGTGGGGTTCGGGTTTGGCGGTGTAGTGTGCAGGGAGGGGCTGGAGAAGGCAAGAGCAGAGGGAAGTATGAGTTGGAGTGGGTTCCCGAATTGCTACTGGGTGAGTGGTTTTCCAATATTTTCTTCGTTCAACTTTTGACAATGCTTGAAGATGATGAGTGTGCTAACGGGGTGGGTCTCCTGTACAGTGGATCGATCCGAAGCAAGAAGTGGCGGGCGTGTACTTGAGCCAGTTATTACCGAGCGGCGATGACAAGTCGATCGAGCTTTTGCGGGAGTTCGAGCTGGCAGTTTATAAAGCTACCGCCGAAGGCCAACAGTGATCGATGAACTTAGTATCGAGCCTTAGCCTAGTTTCATTTCACTCTCGATTCTGCTTTTCTTTTTGTGTGTGTGTGTGTGTGTGTGTGTGTGATTTAGGAAAAATGTCTCCGGTTTATTCCCTATGGGTTGCTACCCTTCTTGAAGTGACGGGCGCGCCGACTTAGACCAGACTTAGCAGTTTTGGGAATTTGGGGCAAGTTTATTGACCGCTGTTACAAACTCACGCTGTGTGCATGTTTTCTTGGCTCGTGACACCTGCTTTCTACAGCTGTTCAGCTGAGTACAGGGGACATGCCGTACTATTGTAATCCCAGAAATTAAATTTTATAGCTACTCTCCGCAGTGCAACCCAGGGTTCTACCTAAGATTGGTATCAGCTGAAGCTGAACTCCCCTTGCAATATTAAAATCTTCCAGCGCATGCTGTGCGAGATAGTATGTTGGCAAACATCTTCTGTGTGGGCCAGGTGGGCCAACACGTACGGGCCGCCCGACCGAGGAGACTTTTCCAGACATGGAGCATCTTGCATGCATTGGAGTATCCGCAATTGAAGGGTGATCGGCAATGTACCTTTTTCCTATAATGTCCATAAGGGATCTCAACTTACTCTTTCGGGCTAAGATCTCTTTCGAAGACCCCGATTGAATACAGCCGTGTGAGTAATGAGAGACACTAGAGTAGCCATCATCAAGTGAAGTGGTAATCCTCGAATTTCTGGCAGTGAAAATACTCAGAATGCATGACGCTAATCCCAGTTCGCCCTCCCTCTATCAATTCCGAACCTTCGTCGCCTCAGCCCCTGCACCTCCCCACTCCCGTCTCTCTCCACCACAGCCTCACTATCCCTATCGCGATCACCCGTCTCTGCCTCCCGTTCCTCAGCACTCCACCATCCAAGGCTAAACACTACATCTTTCCCGAAGACTTCCTTTTTCACAGCCTCGTCATCATTCCACCACTCCGCACCGCTCGGCACATCACGCAGCATGTCCGCTCCTGCGAGCAAGCTCGCCCCTACAGCAATGCTGCACGCATTCTCCGGCATCACCTTCTTCGTATCCAGCAACCAGAATGAGATCAACAAACACACCACAATCGCGCCCAGCAGCCCCTCCAAAATCCTTGTTGACACTGCGCTCTGCTTCAGTCTCATCCTCGCTCGCGGATCTATGATCTGGCCTTCCAGTATCGTGGGCATGCTGATGTTGCCGCTGACCACAGAGCTGGCATTCGTGGGCACGTCGCTCCGCGCGACCAAATTCAGCGTTTGCGCGTAAGTCAGGCCAAAGAGATGCTGCAACGCGGCAGCAATCTTTGGATGTGCGCCGTTGGCGACATCAAAGTCGGCTGCCTCCAGCATCGCGACGCCCGGCGCGGCGAGAAGGGCGGAGAAGGCGGCGTCGTAGTTGCCGCCGTCAGTGGCGCTCGTGTTACTGCTGTATGCGCCGACTGGCATGTACTCGTTGACATTGATGGCGGCGGTGGTGAAGTCCGCGATCGGACGCGCCGTTGTGTCGTTTGGCGTCGCGCCGATGACTTCATAGGACGGAAGGGAGAATGTCGTGTCTGTCTGGACTTGTTCGACGACGGGCACACACACCATGGTCTGCATGGAGCCATTGTTGAGGGAAGACCCGAACGCAGCTATAACGTTGATGCAATCAGTTCCCTCGAATCCGCCAATGGAGGGGCCGAATCGGGCGAAGGGATGGGATTGGTTCTCGGTGAAGTTGCCGGTAACCCAGTAATAGATGGTTTGGTTGCGGCATTTTTCAGGTAGATGGAGCTGTACGGCCTCACTGGTCTGGATGGCGATTTCCGTGCAGGGATCGCCTCTTTCAGTGTCGAAATTGTAGACGGAGCCTTCTGTGTAGGATATGCGCACGTGCTCGGGGGCGAAGTAGGTGCAATTGAGACTGGGCCGTACGGCAGGGACAGTTGCGCGGATGGTCAGGCCGGTAGTATCTGGATATAGAGTGTCCAGGTCTTTGTCTGTGCTTTCTATCGTGTCGATGATCATTCTGTGGAAGGCAAGTTCACCGTGGGTCCATGCCGGATAGGAGAGGTTGTTTGTAAGGATAAGGCCCAGAACGAAGGAGCTTTGTAAACCGAGGGCTGTTTGATATGCGGTTATACCTAAATTCATGCTGGCGTTCAGAATGTTTTCGATCTTGAACGTAGAGTCGAATGTGCGTGTAGTAAGCTCTGGAGAGAATAGTCCGCTAGAGACGATAGTGAGAAAAGGCGTAAGAAGCATCGAGAATCCCGTTGCTACTAATGCATACTGCCTGAGTCGGATTGCACTGTAGACTACATGAACCGTAACCTTTGACGAAGGGTCATTGAAGAGATTCTCCATGGTGCAGTTGAGCTTGCGGCGTAACTCATAATACGGGAATAATATCCTAGACGAATCGCCAATCATTCTCACGAGGAGCTGGGCAGTGAACATGGAAACCGCGGGTACATACACCCAGGTATACCGGACATAACCGTCAGTCTCGACGTCCGCAAGGCCTTCGTGCTGCTTCGAGATTTGGTAGGTTGTTTCCAATGCTGTGATGAGAAGTAACAAAAATACCGTAGTTGCACCTTTCGTCCAGAGACGGACAGAGATCGGTTGCCACCAGCATAAGTCTTGAGTATCATCGGCCTTCTCTGAGATGTCATTACCGATTGGGATGCTGGAGCGGGCAAGAATGACTCGGAATTCCGAGCTATGGCTGTTGGACGAATGAAGAACGCTCAACCCCTGGTAATTGGAGAGATAGGAGTGTAGCCGGGATATCTTCCAGAGGCTCTTATTCCGCAATGTCTCGCAGGTTGACGGACTTTCTTTCATCATAACTGCCAGGCCACCTAAGGATCCGGGGTCGCGGCTCATTGTGTCTCGAGGGCACACAAAGCAAAGTACCGCCGCATTAGCAATGAGAAGAACCAGGGTGGCCATCATCAGGTAAAGTGATAATCCTCGAATCCTCAGGCGCTGTTCGTCGGCGAACACAGTTCCAGTGATCACGTTGCTTGACGGCGTCATGAGATAGTTCCTTGCCAACTGTGCGGAAACCATGCTGAAGAATCGAGTAGTCTCGTTTAGCATGACGTTCGGTTCGAGGAGATCTGTAATTCTCGGTGGTCTTGAAAAAGCCACAAGAGCTTGCAAAAAGAGGCCGACGCCGATGTTTCCCCTAGATTCGAAGTCTCCAACAGAAGAGGCGGGCCCAAGTACAGCGACCTTACCGTTGGCGATCGACTGTAGAAAAGCTTCCATGAAATCCCATTGCGATAGGGGCAAGCTGGATGTGTCCGTGGCTCCCAATGAACTAATTTTGTCTTTGGTGGCTAAAGTACCCGTGTCATTGACTGTCACTTTCCAGGGTTCAATGACGTAGCCTGGCTGACACATGAGAAATGACGTATTGCCAATGGTGAGGTTTTGGAGTTTTGTCTCGCTTTCCGGCTCATCATAGTCCAGTCCTATAGTGAAATTTGCCAGGACAGCCACAAAGCGCTGGGATGATGAAGAGTCGTCACATTTGACAGACATGCTATTGCCGAGAACCCCGATCATCTGTGTCGGCCTAGCCTGCGACGACCTATCCTGGAACTCCCCAGAGAAAGCGCTCATGGTGAGATTATTGACGCGACATGATGGCGTCTTAAAGGTCACGACAGGATCCTCTATTATGCAGTCTTTAGAACACGAAGAACTCCAGTAAAAGTCGGTGACCATCTCACAGCCAATTTCAGCGTGAAAGACGTCAGTAGTTGTCTGAATACTTATGTTCTTAGATGCTAGAAAGTAATTTAGTAAACAACAAAAGCACCTATAGGCAGTGTTTTATCCTTACCTGGACTAACATCCTGAACATGGAGAGTGGAAAACGCCAGTTCATCAGATGTTCCTAGAGGATATGACAGATTGCCTTGAACCACGCTGCTTAGTTCATGCTCTAACTTCTCTATTGCATAGGCTCGAGACTCACCACTGTTCAACGCAATTGCGGATAATACCGGCGAGCCCCCGAAGGATACATTCGTTGAGCTTAGTCCGAAGGTTTCGGTAGTTTGAATGCCAACCCCGTAGCGGTGGATTCGCTCAACCTTGAGCATGAGAAGGCCAGTAGAGATAACGGTCAATAGCTGGATAAGCAATGAACCAACTATAGCAAAGGTAACTGGGTAATGACCGTTTTTGATGGAAATGTACAGAGGTATTGGCTGAGCTGGTTCAATGCAATTCAGGAGAAGAGTGCTTGCTGCGGATGTGGGACCATTGTGCAGGATTGCCCAGGGCATCAATTGTTTCATCCGGTGTTCCACTTGTCCCCATAATCCAGCAAGAGTCGCAAGAACTGTTCAGTCAGCTAAATAAAAAGTTTTCCATATTGGTGCAAAGCCGTACCTGCGGTTGGGCCATATGTCCAAACATATCGAAGGTTTGAATCCACCGTAGCCAAGCCTTGGTTCCTGTCGTCAAGTATTGCCAGGACGATGAGTGCAAGCAGAAGCAATACATAAGCCGTAATAAAACTCAGTATCGTTGCTGCCTGGAGATAGAAGGGCGTCCATGGTCTCCGAGATTCAATAGATGCGATGGAAACATCCTGGTGAATACCGTCTGATTCGGATAGCGGCGTCCTGATGCTATGGCTGGGGGATATGGCGTGGTGTTCCTCTCTGCAACTTCCATGTTCACTGTTCCTGGGGTGATCAATCGGTCTCGAGTGCACGGTCTTCAGATTATCACTGGTGTCCGAGTGCTGGATGATTCCCGCAGCGGGGACAACACCCATGACATGCGATATTCGGTCGTAGGAACGACTGCGATCTTGACTGAGATTGCTAGGTCCTTCATCGTAGACGGGCATGTTTTCTTCAATGTTGGGCCGGGTGTGGAGAGCATCTGCCGGAGTGACGTCGAGGAAGGGCTCAGGCTCGACGTCACAATCGATCTGAGTGTTTGAGGTTGACGAAGACTCTCTGAGGAGCGCAACAGAATTTGCGGAACGAATATGAGAACTTTGTTTCGTTGTCATGTTGAAATGGAGTCTCTGCTAATCAGCCGTGACCAGACGTATCGAATGAGAGAGTCGGCTGCCGGGCGGCCGACAGGGACATATTTATCCACGAAGGAAATTATGCTGACAGTCTTTCACCTTAGTAGGTCTTCTATGGACGGAAGGCTGGCCCCATGTCCAGAGCAAACTGTCTGAGGCTCGTGTTCAACCTAGCTACTTTGAAGCCAAGCATAATTGTTTCACGATTATCGCGCCCTCCAGACGTGCAACCGCTTGATTGACCTTGTGCTCAAATCTGAAGTCGTACAATTAGGCTCCAGGCCAGGAGATATACCTGCAGTAAGTTCCCTGTTTTTTGTATCCAATCGTGTGTTTAAAAAATGCAATGTCAGTTGAGTATGGTGGTATTCAATTTTAAGTAGGGGTGACACCACATCGTGGGTGGGTGGCTACCTACCTGGCCAGAAACAAAAAGGCTGAAACATGAACTATCACGCCATTTCGATGTCTTTTCGAATGGTATAAGGTATTCGCAACCGGATGCGCTTGCCTCGCTTGCAAGAGGCGATGTCAGTCTCCATTAGACGCCACATTGATGCCTTTTGGGGCAACACAGGTTTGAGCCATATGCAGTCTAGTTGGAGCTGTTTGTACTACAAGGCCAACAGCCGTCTACGAAAACATGCGTACTCCACCGTCCTACGCAGGGCTATACCTCGTTCCTCCATGGGTATTTGCCTCTCATTCATGCTAAAGTTATCGGGAAGTGCATTCTGTCGTCGCTGATGGCGGAGGACGACTGGTGTAACATTAGTCATCCGTCGGACATATTGGGCGCTGCCGGAATGACACTGGAAGGCGACGCGAAGAGTGGATGTGACGGTTACCGCGCGCTCCGAGGAAAACGCGGCATTGGCTAGATACTGCCCCTTCGAGCCTCAACCCTGATATTTCCGGGGCTACATAGCACCGAAATAGTATTTTCAAATTTGTCCTGCAAATCGTACCCCTGTTACATGGCGCTACAGGACTGCCAGGAGAGCTATGCGTGCATGCCTATGTAACGCTGCTAATTATAATCACCTCCCACGCTCCTCTATTTTTGCTACGATTAGAAACTATAGACGCGTAATGCGGTAGCTCTCCGCATTCGCTAGGTTAATTCGTTGTATGGCTGTTGATAATTCTACGTTATGCCCACATCATTCAGTCAAGAATCCAAAGTTCACTTGCGCCATTGGCAGGGCTGTAAACGATGGCTTGCCTCTGGTGATAAGTGACGTCACGGGGGGACTTAAGAGCCATAGGACTAGTGAAGGATGAACTAAGAAATTCTCTAGAATGCAGTAATACCAGGGGGATAAAAAGTGCTGTGATGGAATGAGCCCGCCTTCTCATTGATCAAGGTTGAGGGTGAGCCCAAGAAGCTGTCCACTAGACTCGTTGTCTGCTGCCCCTTCTCTAGTCGAACCACGGCCTGTGACATTTGTTCTCGCTGTTGTGTCACTCGTAGCCTCGTTGCCTGCTTCCCTTTCTCCAGTGGGAGTCTGGGCTGTGACACCCACGTTGACCTCATTGTAATACGAGAACGATACTGTGTAAGCCCCTTGATTATATACCTTGTTGCCTACTTGTCGAATTCAGGAATCTTCTGTTCGGCCCGTGCCACCTACCATCGTTATCGTCGGAGCCATTACAATCACCCTGCGATACACGCTCGAATCGCTGTAGGCTGGGTTCAAAGGAATGAGAACTACGACACATATGCGCGCCTGCAATGGACGTGTAATGAGACGCTCCAGCTGCAGTGCATGGCCAATGAGAGACCCTTTCTCGACGCCAGCCCGTGGCGTCGCTGCGTCGCCGCCGTTCCAGTTCTGCACGAGTAAACTGGCGGCTCGGCATGCTCGAAGCGTTGGATGTAGAGCACTTAGTACTGAAGGCGTCACCACTAACGCTTTGGAATCCAGTCCCCAGGCCTTGTCCTAAGAAGTCCAGG